TATTCCAATTGGTTTTTTACCTGCTGCTAATCACGTAATTTTTGGCACTTTTTACGAGTTTTAAAGCTGTCAAATTCGTATAAAGTTTTCCAAATTTTATTAGATTTTATTGAACCTCTTAACTACTAAGTGGTCTGAAACTATTCCAGTTAGTTTTTTCATGCTGCTGATCACGTAATTTTTGGCAGTTTTTGAAATTCGAACGCTTCCAGTCAGCCGTCTGACTCGATGGTTTTTGTCATTAGCGTGTAAATCTCTACTGTTTTCAATCTTCAAACCTTCTGCCGCTAATCACGTCGTTAATTCTTCGGTAGTTCCCAGACTAATAATATTTTATATGAAGTTAGCAAACATACATCGCTACTGTCGGGGCAAATTGTCGTATGTAACAATTTTAAACATATATTCGGTACTTGTGAGCGACGCGGGCTCTATGGACTGCCATCTGCAGTTATCTTGTAATTTAAAATGTTGTTGTTATTTTTATTTCTTATTATTAAATTACTATATTATTATTATATTTATATTTCTTATTAATATATATATAACACGGCTGGGGTAGCCGTTCTGGCTAAGGCGCTTGCTCTAGGTAATCCAAGTTAAGCAACGTCGAACGTGGTTAGCACTTGGATGGGTGACCGTCCACCAGAGAAAAAAACCATGCTACCCGAGCCTCTCCCCCCCCCCCGGGTATGTGAGCCCGTCAGCCTGCTGGAGGTAACTCACACCGACCAGGCGTAGGACTGATGATCCTACCCCGTGTACTTAATCAGGGATCGGAATGTGGTCTACCAGGATGTTAGTAGCCGCCCTGAGGTTCGGTCCATGGACAGTCTGTTTCGGGGAAAGAAATATAGATCCTCGTACGCCAGCTGACTCCGAGCATTCATAATCTATGGATCTAGGCCGATTTTTCACTGTCTTTGAACCCGAGTCGGTGGATAGGACACTGCCAGATTGGCCCCAAAGGGATCGACGATGGAGCTACAGGTGGCCTGCTGCAGCACCATGGTAGCCATGGTTCCTAGCAACCTGAGGTTGGGTGACCCCCTCCAGGCTATCTGAGCTCCCGCAAACAACATACATCTGTAAGGAGGCCACATTTCGTAGCCAAAGATCTTCATGGTTTTTAGTGCCAACAGAAAAAAAAAAAAAAAAAAAATAGATATATATATACATACACATACCAATATATATTTATAAGAAATATAAATGTAATAATAATATAGTAATTTAATAATAAGAAATAAAAATAGCAATAAATATATATATTAATAAGAAACAAGAAAAAAAGAGGCAACGCCAAATATATGTCTTATTATAGGAGAGTCTAATTTCATACGAAGATAGAGATTATTTAATAATAAGTAGTTTTTAATAATAAGAAGCAGTAATTTAATAATAAGAAATATAAATAACAACAACAACACTTTAAATAACAAGATAACTGCAGATAGCAGTCCATTTAATGTTTCTAGTCCTCAAATTTACAATTAAAACAAAAAAAAATAATCCTGCTGATTGTCTTAATTACTTTTATAAAACGTAAATCTTAGGACTAGAAAAGTACTTAATAAATCATTATTTTTATTTTATTCGTAAATTAAAAGTGTATTTATTAAATTATTTTTATAATAATAATATATCCCAGATCATGGAAAAACAAGAAATAAAAGCTTTTCAACAGTTAATTGTAGTCAGTTTTATTGTAAACACAGGTTCTTATAGATGACAAGATGAAAAGTCATTGTATCATTTACACAACTTGAGGTGAACTTTAATATATAAGCACTAGCGGATCCAGGATTTAATTTTTTGGGGGGGGGCTTGAACCCGAAACCTTTTTTTTCATAAAAATAACTATAATTACTTTGTAAAACAGAAAGAAACTAACTACCTATATGAAATGGTGTTTAAGTTATTCCTTAAGTACTATTAAATGTAATTACACGAAGAATAATACTTTAAGAGGTATTTTTTAAATTTTTTCCCCATATAACATTGTTATATTTTTCCATTTTGAGGAGGGGGCTGCAGCCCGAAAGCCCCCCTCCTCCCGTAGATCCGCCCGTGTATATAAGTATTTGCCTTATAAACCTCACTCATAAAATAATATGGACTTGAAGCTTATTAAACGAAGTTTTTTTAAAAGTGGAGTATCTGATCTGTTGTATAGTTGAATAATGATAAAAAAAAGAATTGCCAATAATTTATGATTTTTTTAAAAACCTAACTTAGCTAAGTTTAACCACTCAAAAGTCCTCTTTAAATGACAAGTCATTTTTTTTCTATTTTACAGTGAAATGATTTTTAAATACTTGAATTAAATATTTTGTTAGTTATCATATCCTATTAAAAAAAAACGTGAATCGCTTGAAAAGCCACTAAACTTGGATTTCCTACTTTTCTGATGAGAATTGGTCAATTGTTTATATGTACTTTTTGTAGGCCTTGAGGTCTGCTATTACTCCTATGAAAATTTCCCTCTACTTACGGTATATTTTATATCTACCTATAGCATATAGGTATATGTCTAGAAAGATTTGAAAGTATATCTGTATATTCAACCTATAAATGATAATGGATTGTACGCCCATTATTTAAAAAACTGTTATTTCCATTGTAAAGTTTACTAAAACCAAATTACAAGATTTTATATGATCACAATAAATAAATACCTCAAATATTTTATTAATTTTTATACTAAATGATCACAATAAATAAAATAAATACCTCAAATATTTTATTAATTTTTATACTAAATGATCACAATAAGTAAATACCTCAAATATTTTATGGTTCAGTAAAAAATAAAATAAAATAGTTTAATTTTAATTTTAAAATATGAACCAATAGTGGATATGGATATTAATAAAAAAATTAACTAATCAAACAATTTCTTTATATTATTTATTGATCGTTAGTTTTTCAATCTTATTTTTTAGGGAAGAGGGAGAGATTTTTATGATTTCTATGGAAAGGTATAATTCACTTTCAAACACTTGAATTTTTTAATTGTCGTGATTAAGACGTTAAGGCTCTATACAGATCATTATAAAATGTAAACATACAAATTATTGCTATTTGAAATATTACATGACGCCACGCAGTGAGCTGATTCAGATTATCTAGCAGGAAAAAAATTCATAATATCAATAGTGAATATTTTTGTGGAATGTTTATATATTGGTGCAGTAAGGAAAAGGAAAATTAGTCGAAACAAAAACAAACAATATGAGTAGCCATGATTAGAAACATTGAAAGTGGAGGGCCATTTATCTAGTCAGAGATAACTCAATCAACACTCAACTTTTCTTTGTAAATATTGTGGTTATTCTCTTACCTCATTTAATTTTTCCGAATATAAATTATAATTCCAAAGGTATGTACTTTATAATATAAATATCAATGGCAATGAAAGTTTCGCTATTTTTCAAATAAAAAATAAAGTATCCTCTCATGTTGAAGAAAAATTTTGAATTTAATTCAAAATGCTATAACATACCAGGATGCCATAACACAGCACACCAAAATTCTACTAAGATGCAGGAATGATTGTAGTTATATTTAGTACTTTTAGAACGTTATTTTGTTTTTGTTTGATGACGTAAAACTGCACTGGTCAACACCATTTTCAACTAAATATTTATATGCACTTCCCTTGCTGCACAATCAGCTAATTCGTTACATAGGATTCCCACGTGACTTGGGACCCTTATGTTATTGTCATACCTAGATTTTGTAAGGTGGTTAAGTAGGATTAGATCCAAGAAATTTCAGGATGTTTAAAATACAAACACCTCTGTAATGAGCTTAAAGAATCTGTAACTAATAGTGATGCTATGTTGTTTTGGTTTAATGGAATACAGATATGAAGCGCTGCTTGCTGCTATTACATTCAATATCGCAGTACATATATTACAAAGACTTTCAGACCTTGGTTTTTCCAGCTGTGGAAATTATTGAACTTTAAATATTTAACTCCCTAAAATTGTAGCGGTATGATACACACGAAATGTTAAAAATACAATACCAATGAACACTAATGATTCTAAAGTGTTTACGTAAGTTACTAATTACATAACTTATACAATATCAAAATGCTACAGAATATTTTAAAAAAGAGATTCATTGAAATTCGAATTTATTTATCAAAATTGGGCACAGACCAGATATAATTCGCTACATAATGACCAAATAAGAAAATTGGTTAGCAGGAAACATTTTGAGATTTTAACTGTTGATTGACATGTTTTGTTTAGTTTAGGCTGAACTCAGGATTTTTTATAGTATGGTCGCCTTAAAGCGGCAGGATAGAAAGTAGATCCAGGAGCTATTTATCAGTGAACTTAGCTGTGTAACAGAATAAAAACTGTAATTTCAGTTCTGTGCAACAGCTTCTAAATATACATAACCTGTGCATATCTAATTCACAATCTGAAAGCGAAAAGGCTGAAAATGATATTTACGTCAAATTCATTTTAAATTAAATTACTTTATTACTCGTGAATGATTAATACTTATTAATTGTATGGTTTTATTAGATATTTGAAGTGGCATAAAAAAAACTTTTTAAGTTTCAATAGAAAATTAATTATCTTTTATACTTGTTTATCTAAATAAGAACTAATCAAAATTAATTTTAAATAAGTCAAAAAGATTTAAAATAAGTGTATAATTTCAATCAAACAAGGTTTTATTTAATTTTATGACTAACAGTTATTTCATTAACACTTCATGATTTTTCATATAGATGTCCATTTCGAATTTGGTGTCGCCATAGCTCTAATTAAAAATTTCAATTTTCTCTAAAATGCATATTTTAGTGTATGTCCCGACCAAATATGGAACCTGAAACCTAAAACTCTTATTTTTTTTACCTCAGGTATGTTTCTAGACTTTTTTATATGCTATATGAAAGTTTTATATGCCATAGAAACACATTTTATATCTATAATAAATAGAAATTAATGAGAAAAAGAAAATATAGGAAAAGGTGATACAAACAGAAAAAAAAGCCGTTTATTAAAAACTTTAATAACGGTGGTTTTAGATTAAAAACATTTATTTATCTTCTGGCTTATTGAAGACAAGGGTGTAGGCACACTTTCCACAGTAGTGCCTGTCCTCCATGGCAGCCATGAAGACGCCAGCACCGCACTGCTCGGAGGGGCATTCCCTCCTCAACCTGCTGATTTTACCATTCTCGTCAACCTGTGACAAACCAATTAAAATAATTAAGATCATATTGATAATGAAACAGTTTCTTAATAAGTATTTTAAAAATATAATTTTTAAAAAATACTGAAAAAATGATCATTTAACACACAAAAAAAAATGGCCAGATGAAGACTGGATATAAATAATGAGCTAAGTGACAGCCAAACAAAGCAAACTATGTAAGACAAGGAAAAAAAGCTAAATACCATTGGCAACAAACTAATAAATAGGTCAAGTTAATTAAATGCCAATCATTGATAGTGACAATAAAATTTTTGCTTTTATATATTCATGTACGTAGTACACATTTTACATCTATAATTAATGACCGAGCATTTAAATACATCCATTTTCATAATATCATTCTAATTGACTATAAAAATTTATAAACAAATATAAAAAACATTCTCATGAATAAGGAACTTTAACTGAGAGAGTAAATTCCTCCTGCAAGTAGTTAAGACAAAAGTTTCTTTTTAAAGATTTTTAAACTTTTGTTTTATCTTAGGATTAAGGAAGATTTGCTTCTTTGAGTCTACTACATATTAAGAACATTTACTTAATAAAATTAAACATCTCACTCAATTACTACTAAAATAGAAAGACTTTGGGGTAAATGAGAACTATTCTTAAAGTGTGAAGTGTCAATTACTGTAATTAATAATTAAGATAACATACTAAACATACTACTACAACAAAGTAGTACTTGGACTACAAAACCAAAATTTAAGTAGTATTGAAAAATGTCTGGCAAGGCACCAAAGTAAAGGGGAAAAACAGAATCACAACTATGTCCATTAAAAGAATGAATGTTTATCCCCAGATTAAGTTTATAAAATAATAAATAAACAAGAAAAACAAATAATAGTTGATAGGTGAATATGAACTCTTTATTTTTAAAAAGCTTGTAACCTCATTAGCCTCAGATTTACAGTTTATCTTCAGCTGAATGCTTCAGATAGCAAATACTCCAATCGATAATCATCATAGGCCATTCACTTATACAATATAAATCAAGAATTTAATTTCACTGTTCGTATCAAAACTATAAGCCAAACAAGAAATTGAATCAAATCCCTGATATTGAACAACCTAAAAATACACATACATATCTGAGAGTATACTCTACCCGAGACATACAAAACAATAATGGACAATGAGTTATTAATTTATTGAAGAAATGGGTCACACCGTGTTTATATTTGGATATATTGGGTTTTACATTTATTAACTCACGCCCATAAAGCCAACATGTCTTTCCCACTAATTTATCCTTAAATTGAAAGACCTTAGATATAAAAATTTTCTTCAGTTTCTATATGAGATAGCAAATACTTCTAAATTAATCATCAAGGGCTTTAAACTAATACCATCAAATTTGATATAGGTAAGCTAACAGCAATAGGACATTTTTTATAATAGATTAAACAGAAAGAAAAAATACAACCCCCTACAGAAACTACCAGGATGGTTTCAGCTTCAAAACCAGGTACAAAAATAATTGTTTGGTTTAATATCACAATCACAAAATTAGATACACTTGATACCTCAGATTAAACAATTTCAGTTGGCATTAGATATAAAATAATTAACTTTAAATATTTTACAATAATTGAATATAAGAATGACATTCATTCAGATAACATAACTCCACATAAGAAAATGGAACGTTTCAGTCGGGGAAAGATTTATCATCATTATGAATGAGCATTTAATAGGCTTAACACTAATTCTAAAATATTCATTGACCCCTTATAGGTCACTGGTATATGTTAACCAGAACAGAACCAAAAACATCATATAAGAATTTAACATCATATAAGACATTTAGACATCATTTAACATCATATAAGACATTTAGACATCATATGAGAATTTCACATCATATAAGAACAAAAATAAAAAATACAACCCTCCAAAGAAACTATCATGATGGTTTCAGCTTCAAAAACAGGTACAAAAATAATTGTTAAGGAACACCACAATCACAAAATTAGATACACTTGATACCTCAGATTAAACAATTTCAGTTGGCATTAAATATAAAATAATTAACTTTCAATATTTTACAATAATTGAATATAAGAATGACATTCATTCAGATAACATAATTCCACATAAGAAAATGGAACGTTTCAGTCGGGGAAAGATTTATCATCATTATGAATGAGCATTTAATAGGCTTGACACTAATTCTAAAATATTCTTTGAACCTTTATAGGTCACTGGTATATATTTACCAGAAAAAAAAAAATCATATAAGAATTTTACATAAAATTTCACTGGCAATACATACAATCTACTGAATCTACTGCAGCTAAGTGAGAAAAAGTACATAAATGCACCTCTCACCATTAAAAATAGATAGTATAGAATTATTATTTGATGATAACAGCATATTATCGTCTACATATCGTCAGAATATTAAAAAATTCAATCCATCAGCATATTTTTTCAGAGATTACTAAACCAATAGTTTCTCTATCACAGAGCCACATTGTAATTTTTATAAATGCAAAGTAATATTTTGCCTAAAATCTTAATCCAAAAAAAAATTGTAAATGGTTGGCAAAATTAAGCAAGGCTTTAATAATGAGATCATAAAATTGCCCTAATACTATCAAACATGATATGGGTAAGAGATAAGTTAACAGCTAGTGAGCACTGTTTTTTAAAATATTAAAAAAATAATTACAATCCTCAAAAGAAACTGATTGGAGTTTCGGCTCTTAGAACTACATATAAAGGTAGTTGCGTAATTGCTTAGCCCTGTCACAATCACAAAATTGTATTTTTTTTACTTCCTTTGTTTATTGAGATATATTACTTTCTGTCTCAATTAAGGACATTTATAATACACATCAGAGAGGAAATTTGAACCGTATTTCACAAAATTTAAGTCACAATAAGGCTGAGATTAAAAAACTTTAATTAGCACTAAATAATAATTGTTTATTTACAAATTGAACCCTAATCATTAATGTCAAATTTTCAGGAAATGCATAAACTATATTTTCTATTCCAATTCTAATATCAAAGATTACACATATTGTTAGAAAAATAAAGTAAGAAATTCTGTATTTGTAGAACAAATTTCTGAAAATCATTAACGATTTCAATAGTGATTAAGGGATTGGTTTGTAGACAAATGGATAGTGTACGATACATGAGAAAAAGTTATTAAATTTGTAAAATGAAAATTAATTTTTTGTTCCAATAATGGTACATTAAAATTAATTTATTTTTAATTTCCATTTTAATAATAAAAGGGTTAAAAAAGTTTTTGATATTTTTTAAAATACTTAAAATGCAAGCAACATACACCGAGTTCATCGAAAACAAGAGAAACGTCAGTGTTGTGTAAATAAAATTATCTTCTCACCACTTTTTTTTTTTTTTTAAATTAATTTGTTTTTTAAAGTATACCTGGACCATCAGATTTATTGGATGTTTTTACCCAGGAATCAATACTTATCTCAATTTCCAATAAGTCTATTAGTGTTCACCTTGGAAATTAGAGACTCATATATGTATGTAATAAACTTTTAAATATTTTATAATAATTAGCTTTAAGAATGGCATTCATTCAGATAACATGATTCCACATAAGAAAATGGAACGTTTCAGTCGGGGAAAGATTTATCATCATTATGAATGAGCATTAAATAGGCCTGCCACTAATTCTTGAACATATTTGACCCTTTATAGGTCACTGGCATGTGTCAAAACCAAGTGTGTCATTGAGCATTTAACAAATAATTTTACTTTAATCTACTTGATCTGCAGCAGCAAGACTAGAAAAAATACATAAAGACTTTCCCACCAGCATTAAATATATATATATATCTGCTGGTGGGAGTCGTATTTTTTCTGCTGGAGGGAGTCTTCATGTATTTTTTCTAGCCTTGCTGCTGCATATCAAGTAGATTCAATTAAAATTATTTATATTTACATATTACATATATAATACATACATAAATATTAGATTTACATATATAGTCTAGAAATGCTGGTATGTTTGTACCAGTGACCCTGAAGTATTGTATTGGTTGAATTAAAAAAATCTATCTGTCTGAGTAGATTTTTGTTCGAAACTACAAAGGCCAATAGAATTTCTCAATCATTGCATACCGTAATGTTATTTTAATATATAACCATCTAGTAGTTATACTTTTGTTATTGCAATGTGATGAATTTCGTCATTTTTAAAAATTATTTATGTGTAACTACATAACTATTTTGTTATAACCTTCAGGAAATCATTTACATGAGCTAGCTGTTAACCTAGAGAACAGCAGCCTAATAAATAACTAAAGTGCCTTTTGAATAAGGATAGCTATAAATGACATCCACTTATTTCTCCCAACAATGGACAGCCTCAGATTTTGAAATTTTTCTTCCGTTTCTATATCAGATAGCAAATACTCCAAAATTAATCATCACAGGCTTCAAAAGAGAGGTTTTAGGACTTAACTAATACCGCAGAATCATACCCATACCAGTATGAAAAAAAATATAATGTAAAAATTGGGTATGTATATTTAATTTCTTTAAACATACGAATGTGTCTTAACTATTTGAAAACGTAAAAATAAATTAAATTTTGGAGTGGAACGAATTAATTTTAAAATAAAAATAAACATAACTTCCTAAGGACTTTCTTATATACAGCCAATTCCTATCCTTTACATGCAATTAAAACATGAAATATTCACTTAACTTCTTGATTTTTATAAATATTTGACCATAAAAATAAAAAATTAAAGATTTGAATTCAAATCTAAGCTCCACTATATAATAAAACAATAATTATATAACTCATGTAAACAATAATTGGAAACATTATTGTATAATCTTTTTAATTATTGTTTACTAAGAATAATAAGATCTAATAACAATAACAATGTTTAATAACAAACCTTATAATATTTAAGCACAGCTAGTTTAACCTTCTTCTTCTTGTGCTTAATTTTTTTTGGAGTGGAGTAATTCTTCTTCTTACGCTTCTTGGCACCTCCCCTAAGCCTCAGCACTAAGTGCAAGGTAGATTCCTTTTGTATGTTGTAATCAGAAAGAGTACGGCCATCTTCTAACTGTTTGCCAGCAAAAATCAAACGCTGCTGGTCAGGAGGAATGCCTATAAAATACAGAAAATTAACTAATACTAAATAACGAATAATTAAATTAATATTCCTAACCTTATCCAAGTTCTAATTTTAAAATACATTATGATTATTCAAGGATAATTAAAATCATATAATATTAAAACATATTATTTAATTTAAAAAAATAATTATTTATTCATTTACCTAAAACACAGCTATTGTTAATATAAATCATTAAACTTGGATGATGAAACCAGGATTTTCAGTCATATTGTTGATTAATTGAAGATATCATTTCAGATTTCATTAAAGTCATGAAGATGATCCACAAGGTGAAACATATGACAGCAACCATAATACAAAATATGACTGAAAATCTTATCTTCCAAGATAACCTTTTTTACATTCAATTAAACAAAAAAAACCTGTAACACTATAACCCATAAAAAGGGTCTGGGGTTCAGTACTATTTTAGGGAAAGCACTGTTTCTAGGTCAACAGTTGTGCCAGGAGGTGATTTGACAGAGATCACGCTCAACTGCCAGATTTTCCCTCTTAATTAATTATTTTTACTTAATGGTACCCACTTTATAGAGGCTGGTTGTGCCCCAGGAGGGACTCTCGACCCAGGGTCGCCCCACGGCCAATGAAACAGACAAATAAATTTCCTGCCATGAGCCGGGGTTCGAACCTAGGACCTTTGCATTGGAAGCTCAGTGCCCTACCACTGAGCCACCCCACTCCCTTCATTTATTACATAATATATATAAATTTGACAAGTAGGGTCAATATAGCTTTTTAACTACTTTTATAATTATCAATATATTTATGTATGGAATTCCATAATAGAACATGTTTTCAAGATCTAAGATAAATCGTTTAGGAGTTAAATCGACAGCAGTGTTTTAAATACAGTCTTGTCAAGGAAAAGCTTGGCAAAAAAAGTAGAAGGAATTCATCAATCAAATAATTCCATAAATTAAGACCTCTGCAAATTTCGAGAAATCAAATTAACGGCAGTAGGTATAACACTCGACAGACCACATAATACCATTTATATTAATTTTTTTAATATTGTTTAATATCTTATAACCACATATAATTATTATAAATTCATTATAACTTTTTCCATATGTTCACTGCCTATTACTTTTCAAATGCATTGTATTCAAAACAATTAGGTGCATTGATTACAATTGTCAAATAGAATTGGAACTACTAGACCATTTGTTAACAATTCTCCAATTTTCATCCAACTTTTAACCGAATCGATTGACGATTTTTGAAATATAAGAATATCAAGGAAAATCTGTATGCTAAAGCATTTTTCAAAACAGAGAATGGAATTTGATAAAAATGATATAGATTCTTATCATTTTTACATTCATCCTAAACTTGCCTAATCGAATGTGCAGTAATTGAGGTAGGAGCATATCAAGGAAAATAAGTTTGCACATTATGTAAGAGGAAATAAATAATAGAATCAATATATCATTATTTCTTTAGTAATATCTAAAATTTTGAGCTAAATCAAATGAACAATTTTTGAAATATTGGTGTATCTAAGAAAATATGGTATACAAGTCTACAGAAAGATAGAGACAGGCAGAAATAGAACCAAAATTGATTCTAAATGTCAAAAATGTATTAGATGACAACAAATTTTTTAAACTTCTACACAAATACAAAGCTTTCTTATCTAGTGAGGAAGCAAAACTATATCATTTCTTTTAAAATTAATTAGCAACAACTAAATACACTATACTAAATATGCAATAAATATTCGTACCTTCCTTATCTTGAATTTTAGCTTTGACATTTTCGATAGTATCAGAAGGCTCAACCTCAAGGGTAATTGTCTTACCCGTGAGGGTTTTCACGAAGATCTGCATAACTGATGAGTATCACTAACTTTACCTTAACAAACAAAAATAAAAATACATAATTAATAATGTCTTCAAAATATTTTTTAATAAAAAACAATCATAATTGACATACATCATTCAATTAGAAAATGCGCTCTACAAATAATTAAGCAAAACGTTCCAGTAGAGGGAAACATTTATCATTACTTTGAATGATAACATCATCAAATTATTTTATTAATTTAATTTTCATAAGAAAATAAAACTAATGTGAAAGTTATAAAAAAATCTAAAACTCTAAATAATGTTAATTTTCTATCTACCAATGTTGTTAAATATCGACCAATATCCATTCCTGATAATCCAGTATAATTTTCATACAATGCTTCTAAAAGATCCTTCTAAATCCAATACACAGTTTAAATTGATTGGTTAGAGACAAATCAAGTTAATGAACATTAATTGAGAGAAAACTACGAGAATTCGCAAGAACTTTTACTACAAAATAACGCACTCTACACAGTGTTCTTGATGATTACCATATACCAAAATTAGGATTTGAATAGTAAAAGGAGATCATATTAGAGTTTCAAAAAATCGTAGTTAACATGTTAATTTTGTTTATATATATTTTGGTAACTATTATGTTAATTTTGTTTATATATATTTTGGTAACTATTTTTTTCTATCATGGAATGTTGAAAGTAAATTTAATATTAAAACAAAATAGAACGGTTCTATTAATCAATTCCGAATAGTAGAACTTATTTAAGAACCATCATTTTTTTCACCTCAAAGGAAAATGGGTGTCCTGAAAATTGTATTTGTAATCATCTAAAATTTATGATGTATTAAGATCCCTTAATTTCGTCACCCTCAAAGGAAGATGGATGTCCCTAAAAATTGGTATTACTTGGCATTTTAAAAATTTTAATTTAAAGTTACACAAGGCTGGGTACAAGTAAATCTTCAAATCTTCTGAGTATAAATTTTTTTCTAAAGCTGCAAGCAGCCAGTGGGGAAATTCATACACCAAATTTTATAAAATTTTAAAGAAGTGAATAGTTAAATAATTTTAAAATGGCATTCATTCAGATAATAGTCCTCCACAAGAGAAAATAGGAACACTTCGGTCGGGGAAAGAATTTATCATCATTATGAATGCACCTTCAGATAACTTCCTAAGCACTTAATTCACTCGGGATTGACTAATATAATTAGCAATTGCAGTGCTTAGGTTAACATAACAATAAATAATTAGGGGAGAAAAAGTTTTTTTAATGTAAAAAGGGAATATTAAATAAGTGAAAATATTTCAATAATAATATGAGTAATAATTACTTATTCTTCAGTTATACTGTCTCTCCAATGAAAATAATGAAGTAAAATTAAAAGTAAGATAAAACCTTGGTTTTATCTGAATGTCTTAACATTCAGGCTTCTGACAGAACACTATAGGCATAGGGAGGGTGGCGGCCCTATAACCTGATCACAATACTGCAGATTCGGGGAACACTACACTGACACATACATATACGCTAATTATGCTCACCATCACACTACAGACAAAGATCAAACGGATTAACACTCTAGGGTCACCTTCTCTAGGTAGGCGCCCCGGACGGGGGAGTCCGTCAGGGAGCTCTATGAATGCAGTCCCTCCATCTCACTAAGAGGCTGCGAGCTAATAATCTGCTCTTTTTAAATAAAATATATTACAGAAACAAATCAAAGTGAAAAATAACAGAATGAGACGCACTAATAGATTCTTTATGATCTACCAGGGGAAAGGTATTATGATCAAAATAAATAAAAAAGCTATTGGACATAATTTGTTCCTAAATAAAAAAAAATCCTTAAAAATATTTACTGGTGGCTCCAGCTATCTTGGACTGCATAACAAACATGACAGTTAGTCTGGTTACATCCAAAAACCAAGAAGACTTGATCATCAGAAATTCAAGAATTTTAGTTATTACAAAATGAAAAATAATTAATTTAGTAAGTACAAAAATAATAATAAATAATTAACTTAATATGTTTAAAAATAATAAGTTTCCCATGACTGACATGTTATTTTCATCACACCATCTGCAGATTGTAAACAGGTGCAGACAAATATTTAAAGAAAAAAGAACACATAAAAAAAAAATTATAAGATTTAGGAATGCTTTTCATTCAGATAACATGACTCCACATAAAAAATGGAACGTTTCAGTCGGGGAAAGATTTATCATCATTATGAATGAGCATTCAATTGGAACATTAATAAATAAAACATTGAAATTTTAAAACAAGTCAATCATAATAATTATGCAGTAATGCAATGATAGTTTTAATATATAAAAGTTGTGAAAAATTCAATTTAACCTTTATATTGGATGTGGAAAATCAAGGAAGTATAAAATTGAATTGAAATGATAATTTTGTAACAGAATTAATGGATTCAAGATAATAATAATTATGAACAAGACTTCAAAACAAACTTCATAGCCCTTAAATTAATTAAATTTAATAAACAATAAAACCAAAATATCATTATAAGAAACATGCATACAAAATGAGGATTAACAGATCGATAAATTGGAATTTTAAATTCCAATATTAGTAAAAACTAAAATATAACTCTTAAAAACAAAATATACATTTTTTAATAATCATAACACAATAAAACACTCTGATATTATCATATTATCATCCAAAAATATTTTTAAAAAATGAACATAAAAGATTCAACAAACAAAATATAAAAGGGATACTTGATCATATAAAAAAACAAAACACAAAAGGGATACTTAATCATATAAAATCAACCTCAGTCATTAAAATCAAGAAAATTTAAAGTATTAAAATTAAAATAACATTCTCTCAGAAAATAATACTCCACATGAAAAGGTTTGGAACGTTTCAGTCGGGGAAAGAAATTTTCATCATAGAGAATGTATGTTGAAATAATTGTAGGAAAATATTAATTAAACAATATAAAAATGAATTAAAAATCAGAAATAAATTCTGAAATTATAAAGAATACAGAAACTGGGCAAGAAAGAATGTTATTAGTTTTTATAACAAACAACTCAACTTTTAAAAAATCTTTCACGGTTAATACGAAAATGTTTTAAATGTAATCATTAACATAGAGTAAGTTTAGGATTTTTTAATACAAAACAACTATGTAATAATTTGGGTTATAATTATGAATGGATGGTTTAAAATCTATTATGAAATTCGACTAAACGAATTATGAATTCGACCAAATTATATCATATAAAACAATTTTCATGATCTCAATAAACTGATATATTTATTAAAGTAAGGAGATGAATATAATTTTCGCCAAGATGACATTTTGAGTGGTCTAAGAAGTAAACCATCCAAACGCACATACAACGCTTATTGCATGCATCGGTTTAGTCATTCATTAGTACTAAGAAAAACAAGGCACAGAGATAATGAAAATGAGAAAAAACAGATATCATGAGATAAGATTACATGAGGAGATATGGAAAATTAAAGTAGCATACTTGAAAATGTAACTACAAAAAGAAATATGTATTTTATGTTGACTTATGGTGGTGACCTGACGTACTTTTTTTATTTTTATTGTAGGACAATATTTTTTAATTCTTTTTTTAAATACCTTGTCCTACTGTTCTTTAGTACCCTAAAAATTTCAATCAGCAATAGTAAATTACACTAACAAAAACAGAACAATGAGAAATTCATCTTTCTCAATACATCTTATCTTAAAAAATGATAATTTTTATTTCCTTATTACAATAACAATTCATACAGTCAACAGTAAGACAAAAGATATAAACAGCTAAGTAAAAGTGGCATAAAATACTAATGTTTAAATAGTGTGGAGATAGTTGACCATGATTATAATTTAAGGGGTTAGTCGGGGGTATTGTCAAATTGAATAGTATATAATACATCAAAATATATTATACATACTATTATAATATAAAGTATTATGTATTGTATTATAATAAATAGTATAATTTTTATATATAGTATTTATTATAAATAATATTTTAACATATAGTGTTAAATTAAACTGCACCACGACCAATTCCTCTAATTTTTAAATAAATCAAGGATAATATTCAATTAAATTGATACATTTTTTTGGATTGAAATTTTAATCAGCTGCTAATGACATTCATTCAGAAAACAAATTCCACACACAAAACAGAAACATTTCAGTCGGGGAAAGATTTATCATCATGCTGAATGTGCATTCTCTGAAATACCTGTAAATAAAATCTACCAGTCAAAACATTCTTAACTCGGAAAAAGATTTATAAGCCATTCTGAGGACACAAAAAAAAAAAAAAGTTAAGACTTCCTTAAGACTACTAAAACATAAAAAAATTTCAACAAATAAATTAAGTTTACTATGAAACCAACAAATTTACAAAACAAATTATTTAACTATCGGCAATTGCTCTACAAGGACCTACTACTAGAGCCGAAACATCGGCATACACCACAATGGATTCATTTAATATTTTCACTTGAGAACACCAGTTGATTCAAAACAGTTCAAAAAGTACTTCAGAGAACAATAAAACTATAATATATATGACAAATATTAATTTAGTAAAAAATAATCAAGGGCAGAATTCAATAAGAAATAGCTGCACCTTTCACTCCCATTGTAAGAGACTAGACAAAAGTTTCAAAATAAAAGAAAAAATCATTATTGAAGACGAAAAGAATTAACCATGTAAAACAGACTGATAGAAAACTTCGGTTGAGTGAAATCTCATATTTTTATTGCACACCGTTATAACATGATTTATTAAATTTTAAAGGAAATAATAAATGCATTGTTAAAAATAAACAGGCAAATAACTAATATAATTACAGATAAAACAAATTTGTAGTTTCACAAGCACATGGTTAACCTACACACATGCAACTTAAGTTTTAACAAAATATAGAACCCCCAATTACAAAATATTACACTCGGTAAAGCAATAAAATATTAAATCAAATAATTACTACTTCTGAAATCAAACACAAACATAATATTTACTCACCTAAGTTAAACCCACATACAAAGTAGATAGTCCCGAACACCACCTCACTGAGAAAGACTGGACAGCTTCGTCTCAAAACAAAACCAACTTGATCATCCGTAGTGTGCAGTAAAAGCATGCCAATAGTTTTCAATTATAAATTAATAGCTCATTGCAACTGTACGTCAGAATAAAAACAATAATGCAAAAAAAATAAAAAAAATAATTATTGAATTCACAATTCAATGACTAATATTAAAATATTTCTTCATGCATGTCGGCCCTCCCCACCATTTAAAATAGTCGATTTCTGTTCTGCCTTATTTTTTGTCCAAATTAATCAAAGTTTACAAAACATTAAAAACATCTCAATTTTATTTAATATAGTTGTAAAGTAATACATAATATATAAATATAAGTACAGTGGATGTAAAAAGTTTTTGCTCATCATTTTTTCTTTATGTAATGAATTTTAATATTTTCAAGATAATTCATTTAATTTTACCCAATAAAAAGTACTATTAAAACTTCTTAAATAACAGTATACATTCAATTGAAAACTTTAATTATAATAAAAAATATTTAAAAATAACATAAAGATCAGGAGAAAAGTATTTGCACGCTTTGTTTGTTTACTTGTTATTTACTTGCTTCAGTATAATTCTGTTCTCTCGTGGCAATATTCTGAAATATTTCAATCGTGTAAGATATATTTATTTATAACAGTTCAATAATGCCAAAAAGAAGTTAACTGAGTGTCGACACTCCCGAGAAATACATGGTGGGCCAGACCCCCTATCGTGTACCTCCCTCCCTCCTCCCACATCCCTATAAATTGCATATCGTAGTGTTCCTTGTAACTATTTATTTAAAAAAAAAAAACCAATGTTCCCCCCAAAAAAAGTGAACGCACTGCACCAAAATGGCGTCCAAAGATGCCGGATGGACGACTTAGACTTTAGTCAGTTTTTTGGTCACTGAGAATCAGCACTTGGCTTAATTTTCTCATGGTTGGTCTTTTATTAAATCTGAATAGTCAGAGAATAATAAAACATCAACAAATATTAAAAAATAATTGGCTTAGGCAACAAAAAACACCAGTAAAGTTAAAAAAATTTAACAAAAAAAATTTCAAGTCGAAAATAAAGCGTTGTTTGTAACTAAACGGCCAACAATAGCTAAAATTGTGCTAAAATAAAAGGAAGTATAGCTTTCGGGCAATTTTTGTCAAATGAGCAATTATCAAATAAGAATTACCTTTTACTTATAAATGAAATTTTACCAAACAAATATTAATATAGTCGAATAAGACACGAATTTGAATAAAAGAATATTTCTACATTTAAGAGATCCAGATCACCTACCAAACTTCCAGCAATTGACGTAGTCGAAATGGAGATGAAATATATCATTATTCATAATCACGAATTAAAATGTGAATATTGGAAATGTTCTTCAGACGACGCAGTATTTTTATTGTATCACAAATATTAAAGAGATTTTTCGATAGACACGTATTTTTAAAACGTTTTACACTTTTACTATTTTATATTATATCTAATTTTGTGTATATTATATATATACATAAATAAATAACTTAAGATAGGAATTATAGTCGGATAATAGGTCATGAAATGACTTAATACTTAAAATGACTTAAGATAGATGACTTAAAACAACTTCTGTTTATTCCATTTATTCAGAAACGTTTCAATCCCTGTTTTTTAACATAAATAATGGGATCCTCTTCAGTTCTGGAAAACAATGCCTATCATTGTTATAACAATCAAAAGTTTTCATACATTTGGACAACAAAACCAATTTTTTTTTTCTAACTTTTAATTGAGCATCGATACTCCAGGCCGGGCAGCACGCTGGCAGACCCAACAGTACCACCACAAGGATACCACTGAAGAGGATCCCATTATTTAAGTTAAAAAACAGGGATCGAAACATTTTTTAATAAATGCCATAAGCAGAAGTTGTTTCAAGTCATCTAAGTGTATTTCATGACCTATTATCCGACTATAATTCATATCTTAAGTTATAATATATAAAGTTCGAATTATAATAGTTCTTCTAGTAACTTCTTTTTCCGAAATTTTGGCAATTCCTTTCTCGTTCACTTAGTGCATTTTTCCAATTTTTGGGTTCAATTTCACGTTTCCCTCATTTTGAAACCAAATCTAAACAATCAGTTCCGGTTACTAGACGAACTTATAGTTTCGCCCTTTCCATTTCTATTTGTGCAGAGGGAATAATGCAATCAATATTAAAATTTCCTATTTTTTTATGATATGGTCCAACTTCCGAACAATTTATCCCACAATGCGGAAAATGAAATTGCGGACTATCTTCACTTTGAAGCAGGTTATAGAGAGGTCTACCGAGAAAGGAAAATAGCTCTCCTTCTGTTTAGTGCATTTGAAAAAGATTTTTTAAGGAATCTAAAAGAAAAACGAGATTTTTCTGAAAGACAATTATATATTAGCACAATCCAAAGTGTGAGGCACTAAGCAGATAGAGAGTTATTATCTAATTATTTAAATATAATGTCAGATCTAGAGTTATTAAACTACAGTAAATATATTTAAGGTGATAAACATATCCATGAAATATTTGTACATTTCACTTCTTCTTTCACACAAGTACAATGAAATAGTATCTCAAACAATGTCATTGCCTTGAATCCAGGAGTTTTAAATACTTTTTCAAACTTTAAAAATTGTTTAAAAGTTTACATTTAGTAAGAATATTTCATTTAATTTCCTTGAAAACATGTTATTATTTATATTTTTTTCGCTTCTCTTATTTAGTTACCTTCAACAACTTTCTTATATTAGAGATTTTTTTTTCTCTAAAATTCTCCGCTTTCCAACGATATATAATACCTATACCTTCTGACCAGTATTTCCGGAGATTCATTTTCGACCTGAATAAGTATTTTTTTCTCCTTTATTTAATTATCAGATCCCAAAAGTTATATTTAGCATTTTTCCATAACTTCTAACAATGATAAATAGTTATTATTTATAATAAACCAAACTAAAGGTACTTTAGAGGAAGATATGATAATGTTGAGATTTCACAAAGGGAAAATTCATCAAATTATTCACTAATTTAATTTTCTAAAAATTTACATGACAATTTTTCGGAATAAACTTTGATACCTAATTATTTAAATATAATATCAGATCTATAATCACTAAACTACAATAAATGTATTTAAGATTATGAACATATGCTTTATACATCCATGAAATGATTTTATATTTTACTTCTTCTTTTACACAAAAACAATGAAATAGTTTTTTAACAATGCCATTGCCTTGATTAGGTAGATTTTAAATACTTTCTACAAACGTAAAAATATTTTTTAAAGTTTACATTTAGTTACTAAATTTAATTTAATTTCCTTGAAAACATGTGATTTACGTTAAATATTATCAGTTTTCAAAAATTATTATTTATAGTTTTTTCGCCACTCTCCGTTACCCTCTACAACTTTCTATATTAGATATTGTTTTTTTTTTAAATTCTCCGCTTTCCAACAGTATATTATACTTACACCTTCTGACTAGTATTTCCGGAGATTCATTTTCGACTTGGATAAGCATTTTTATTTTTTTCTCCTTTATTCAATTATCAATTTCTTTCAAAAGTTATATTTAGCATTTTGTCGTCACTTTTAATAGTAAGAGATAGTTGATTGTTTAAAATAAACCATATAAACCATCAAGAAAATATAAAACTTTTCGAGAAAATAAAATACTTGAAAATTTGGTACTTTGTCCCCGTTTTTAGAGTTTCGTTCCACTCACTAGCAGATCCGTCATTGATTTAATTTTGAGGGGTGGGCTTCAGCCCCAAAGTTTTTTTTTTCATATTTTTAACGATAATTACTTTAGGTAAAAAATAAAAGAAAGATACTAACTACCTATATGAAATAATTACTATATAATTACACGATCAATAATACTTTAAGAGATAATTTTTTACCATAAACATGGTCACATTTTATCATTTTGGGGGAAGAGGAGGGCTTCAGACCGAAAGCCTTCCCCCGTAGATTCACCTGTGCACCGGCCGATCTTCAAGGGCGCTCGCAACTTGTTATAAATTAATAGAAAAAGATAAAACGTCTTAAAACAATAATATTTACACTTTCAATAAAGCAACTGTACTAGAGAAATATTAAATGAAATAAAATTCAAATATTACATAGTTTAAAACTGCTTAAGAAATAAATTCAATTTTTTACGAGGAGCGATGACGTCATTGCCCAGGGGCTGGCACTGCCCTGGACTATATCTTTTCTTAATATTACCAACGATTTAACGTGCTTTAAAAATATAAGAGAAATAGGAGGATTTTTGTGGGGAAAAATCTTAAGTTGATTTCTAGGTTTCATTGAGATATTAAAGTAATAAAACAAAAGAACCTAAAGCCAAGTCTAAAAAAAAAATTATTTCTCTGTGGCCACCAAAAATATCTTATTTGTAGTCTATTTTTTAGGAATACATCTAGCCACCAACTGATCTATCAGAGAGGGAGAAGGAGGCTTTCATGATGAAGTGCCCCTCCAAAATAGTAAAATATGACCATGTCTTATGAAAAAGAAATTATCCATAAAAGTATTATTATTCATGTAATTACATTTTATAGGACTTCAAGAATCACTTAAACACCATTTCATATAGATTGTTAGTTTCTTTCTTTTTCTTCCAATCATTATATATACATATATATTTTAAAAAACGCTTATGGGACTGAAGTCCACCTAAATTAAATCTTATATCCTGGATCCACTAGTGCATCTATGCTCCAAGTACTAACTTCTTGAATATTATGAAAATTTTAAGGATATTGATTGTAGGTATCATGAAACAATCTAAGAACCACTTCAGCTGATATAACATTTTTTGATGAGCCCATGGGAGGTAATACTGGTACCAGATTCCAGAAGAATTTATTTATAAAATGACTTGTTATTAATTAGGCTTAATCAAAATTATTACCATATATATATATTTCTTTTTAAGTTTCAGAAGTAGAAAAATCTGAACTATTTGCTATCCACCATTCTTCTGTTTTAACTCCACATACTGACTTCACCAATATTGAACACGAAAAACAAGTACTAAACACTCTAGACATTCCACTACAATTGGAATTACCTCCACCTTGCTTCACTCCGATACTTGTTGCAGAACAAATTAGAAAATTACCTAAAAAGAAATCTTGATGACCTGATAACTGCTCAAGTACTCTGGAATATGCATAGAAAAGCTCTAGTTTACTTAACGTCAACAATGCAATACTAAGAAGGACTAAATTTCCTATACAATGGAAATACTCATACATTAAAATGATACACAAACCAAACAAGGACAAAACATCCCTTCATCATATAGGCCAATTAGTCTACTCCCAATATATTCTAAAATCTTTGAAAAACTACTCAACAAAAGAATTGATAACAGACTGACGGGTGGAAAAATAATACCCATCAATTTAGATTCCGACAACATTCAACCATCCATCAATTACACAGGGTGACTGACTACATTGCAACACCACTGGAGCAAAAACTGTATGTAACTGGAGTATTTCTGAATGTCGCTCAAGCACTCGATTGAGTCTGGCATAGGGGTCTTCCCTTTAAACTTAAGACAATATTCCCTCCTACCTAGTACCTTATCCTTTCTTTCTGACAAATTTTTCATTGTCTACCAAGACTCAGAAGTTTTTTCAATAAGACCAGCCTTAGCAGGAATTCCTCAGGGGGCAGTTCTCGCTCTGCTTTTATACATCATATATACACACAACATTCCTAACAGAGCCGAAACTATTATAGCGACTTACGGAGAAGTTACAACAATTCTGACAAGACATTAAAATCCAACACATGCCTCACAGACTACAACATCTAACAAAACTAAAAGACAGATGCAAACTTTGGAAAATTTGATTCAACCAAGACAAATCACAACATATTACTTTCACTCTTCGACATGAAACATGCTCTACTATTTACCTTGACAAAGCTGAAATTCCTCAAACAGATGAAATATAATATTTTGGACAGGCATTCGACAGAAGAATGACATTGGGCCCACATAACAAAAAAAAAAAAACTTTAAACCTCAGACTACGACTGTTATACTCACTTCTCTCAAGATGCTCAAAATTGAACCTAAAACAAAAACTGAACACTTCCAATTACATACTCAAGCCCATATGGACCAACGCTGCACAAATTTATGGGATAGCCAAAACAACCCACATACGAAAACTACAAACATTGCAGTCAAAAACTTTCAGGACCATAACTAAAGCTCCAATGGTACGTCATAAACATTACTTTACATAAAGCCCTTTAAGTGACATCTAACGACAACATACAGACACACTACAAACGATTTCACAATAACACATGGACATACTAACACACTTATACGAAGTATGGCTACATTTAACATGCCCGAAAACACACTTAGGAGGCTGGATGAGGGATTTTCTCGCTTAAAAAGATTTTAAATTCAAGACAGGAATGGAAGCCACTGGAAACTCCTCTCCATCACGCCGATCAAGCCACTATCTGTACTCAAATCGATATCAAACCCACTAATTGTTATTGCTTATGACAGGTGTGGGTGAAATAATAGTTTAAGAAAAAAAATCAACTTATATCCTACACTTCTTTATTCTTCAAATCTAAATAAAATTAAAAAAGAAAGCTATTTTTGAATAGAATTTGCTGTATTTAAATGTCGCTTCTTTAATTAAACAATAAACCTAGAATTATTGTTGTGTGATGATTTTTATCCACAAAATCTCTTCTATGTTTTTAAAACACATTTTTATTTTAAGTAAAATTTGAGCAATTAATAACATTAACTTCTTGTATTTAATGGTTGAATAATAAAGATTGAAATTTTAATGCAATATTCATCAACATATTTAAGAAGAAGTAAAAAAAATGACTTATGCTTGACTAATTAGACTGGATTAATATATTAATTGATAAAAGGGCAATGTTCACCCACTATTATTGAGACTAACTAATTAATAGATATTATCCCCTACAATTAACCCTGATTTATTTAGTGTTCTCTTAAATATCAGATTTGTACAATGATCTTTTTTGTTAAAATATACAAATATATTTGTCTAGGTACGAATTCACCTTCGATTTAATCAAATAATCAAGATTTTCTTTTAACCAATAAGGAAATATATCTGGAAAATATGAATTACTAGGTAGTAAAATAATAAATACTCTTTATTTAACAACTTTATATAGGTGCACATTTATTAAACAAGGAGAACAGCATTTATACATCCATCATTCTCAGGATTATTTGTGACTTGGGCATATTTACCCCAAACAACTTTGCCACCTTGTGTTACAAGTCCTAATTCACTAACATTAACTTCAATGACAGTACCCTTGGTTATGACACCGAGAGAGGTATACATGGCAGAACTTGGATTCTTCTTGACTCCAATTATTGGTAGCTGGAATGTTGCTTTCAGTTCAGGGTGTGTAACATGAGCCTTATTGAATCTGAGACCCATAGGTCTTATAAACCTTTCAAATTTTGGGGGTTTCCTAGTAAACCCTTCACCAACAAAACATACTTTTGTAACCATTCTTTTCCAAGCTTTTCTTTTCGTTTTGCCAGACTTAATGACTTTGAATACTTCAGAATCTCCTTGCGCCCTAACTTTAGGAATTGGAACATCCCATTTCCCAGCTTTTTCTTTCCTCTTCTGTTTAATCATATTCGATATTACCTTAGCCTGTGACTGAACATCCCTATCAAGAAGATATACAGGTAGTGCACCTTCCTTAACTTTTTCATGCTTCTGTTTAACCTGCTTCTCTTCATGGGCTTTAATCTTTTTCTTCATCTGTATTTTCTCATTGCGTCTCTCTTTATTAAATATTTTAGCCTTCAATCCCCTTAATTTCCTGGCCTTTTCAGCACGTTTATGAGGCTCTCTAGCTTCTCTTTTCCTCTTCCTTTCATAGTAATCTAATCTCCTACCATACAGCTTACGGTGACGCTCAATATACTCGTTCTGCGGCATATTGCCAAACTGAAAAAAAAGAAAGAAAATTAGTGTTATTTCATCAAGAATCAATTAATAGTGTTAAAATAGCACTACTGTATAAGTGTGGCTCCATTTTGATGGATGGGCACAAGATCTCATGATCACACTATAAATAGAATTCTGATAATGTATGTCCAAGTGTATCCAAAAGTAGACAGTAGTGACTAAACAGGCCTAATGAGGAGGCGGACCCAATGAAGTGGAAAGCAGTGATGTAATTAAAGCTCTAATTTTTGCAGAAAAGAAAAGGAGGTGCGACTGTGATGGCTGAGCATGTAGAGCTGTTGCTTTCATGAACATTCCTGAGTCCAATGGCATCAGTTCAATTCCAGGCAGGGCAAGGTGGTATTTATTTTATGTCAGATCCATAAAATGAATCTTGACCGTCCCAATCTGGATATAATAAGTTTGGTTATATCTCTAGAAACCTCCTCCTCTAATCCAAAAATAAGGAAATATGGGGAACCCCCCCCCCAAAAAAAAATAAAATTGAAAAGAACCAGTTACAAGTTAATGGAAATTGATGTTATGATTTAAATAAACTGAGGATTTAGCCGTAACTACATTAGCAATACTGGGTCATTCTCATTATTTCATTTATGATATAATCATGAGATCTCGGGCCCAAACATCAAAGTGGAATAAAACTTGTACAGCAGTACCGCTTAAAGTTTGTACTATTGTGTCAACATGAGAACTGGATTATGACCACATTGATCATCCTGCAAATGGAATTCCAAATAACCGAGTATTAACAGCTATGTTTACGGATGTGATCTCCCTTGGCACAATGGATTATTAATTTATTATAATATCAGGGATTATTTGTTTATCAACATACTTCAAACTTTCACAAACTGAATAGAGATAAAAAACCCTCCAACAGTTATTTAAGTAGAGGACGGAACAAAACAAGAGAATTAGTCACCTGATCTAATATCAGAATTCCAACTACAGAAAGATCAACATGATCATGGCCAAGCTACTATGTTGTAGTGACACTTGTGAGTAGTACCATGGCATTATATTTCCTATAAATACAATCAAAAACTTGCTCCTAAATTCTAATACCTATCAGTTGATTGTGTCTGAAATATTTGGAGTAAACACACCTCCTAATTATTAATCTATTTGAACTTTCTTATCTAAACACTTAAGTTATATGGTATGTTTAACACCAAAATAATTATAATTTTATGTTCCTGGCGCATGAAAATCACAACTCCTTAAACCATTTTTTAATGATTGATTTATTTTTAGGATATATACCCTAATAATCAAAATAATTACAATTTTGAGGGGTATAGCTTGTAGTATTCCGAACTGTTGTCAAGTCTATTTTGTGTAGTTTATGTGACCCTAAATTTCTTTCAGATGGCAAAAGTTATAACATTTTTTGTAATTTTTGAAAAAAAATATCATATGAGGGACCTAAACATTAAGCCTGCAAACATAACTGAGCTTGTGCAAATGGTTTTCTACGGTTGTGTGTAACACATTTAGGGCCATAGCAATTTCTTACACTAATTAGGTGGGATTTTAATTAATAATGAGCAATGGCCTTAATTGCTTGTTTCAATTTCATATGGGCGACCAGACATTGGGCATCATTGATGTAAAAATTTCCTGAATGAAATTTGGCAAATCAATTTTGACAGGTGCGTTCGGTTAAGGCATCATTCTCATTAACACTGCAAATATTTCTATGAGCTTCTGCAGCACACTTACTTTTTAAAAATAATACAACAGAATATGCCGATAATGAATGATATTTTCTTCCATATTCACAGTGCAATAGCAAACACAATACTAAACTAGTATCAACAAGAGTTAACTAATATAGTTGTTGACATGTTACAAACAGGATAAACAATCCATCTTAGTGATTAATTCATCAGATAATAAGTGTATCATAGTGATAATAATAAACAGAAAGGACTTATTTGCCAACCCTATATAATTAACAAATATCAGAAAAATGTCTCAGTATATAACAAGAACAATTTTAATAAAAAAGTAAATGAATAATAAAATTGGTAAGGCAAGTTTAAACAAAAAAATGAATATCAATGAAATATAACGAAAATATCAAGTAGTAAACACTTGCCCTTCAGTGCACATACTATTACATGTAGTGATGTAAATACTGTACAAATATTTAAAATTAAATGGAGTAGGTATACTTTGAAAGAAGAATATTTTTGATTTTTCAATACGTTATTTATGGCAGGTGCACATTAAAATAAATATGCGAGATAAGTACTGAATGATAAAAGCAACAACTTAGTAATATCAAAATGTTCTCCAGTTTAAAAAAAAATAAAAGTGTTCTCAATTACTGTTAATACAAACACTCTAGTATGAATAAAGTATAAGAATAATAATGTATCTACCTTTTAAGAAACCTGTTGTCAAATTAAACAATACTGATGTTTGAAAACTTCTGTTCCACACGTGATAGGCCTTACAAAAGGAACTATATACAGTCAGGCCAAAGAACATAAACTGAACCTACTTGGGAAGCACAAAAGTACATCCACATTGATGTCATAGATAATACCTGAAATAAAATTTAGTTTTCAGATTGCTTACTCAACATTATATATAATAATTTCATAGAAGTAGGGTAAATCCTCTAGTTTTAGGCACTCTTAAAAAACTTTAAAAGTTTTGGTCCCATTTTCAATCCCATGGGTATTTGTAAAACTATTCCGAATCCGTTAAGTCAGTAAAGATCTCTTATTTTAAAATAGAAGAGCGACTCATTGTCTTTTCTATATGTTTTTAAAGGAAAAGGTAAAAACATCTATATGCGCCAGTTTTCAACACCATTCTTCAAGTTTCGGCATCTTCCCAATATTCAGAATATGATAGTATTAGTTTCTGTAAGTCATCTGAATGACATAATGCAGAAATGTTTTTTACGAAGGTCGGTGGGTATAGAAAAACAAAATCAAGCACTTCTAGGAACTCTACCAACTCCGAATGAAGTAAAATGCACGGTACGTATACAGAGATGAGAAAATGCCGAAGTGAGAACTTCGAAATGAGTACTTCGCTCACAGAATATTATAAATATATAAATTATATTAATAGATGTGCCATTATTCTATTTACATAAATATTGACCTTTAATTTTTTAACTCACTGCTTATAACATATTACGGATTTTTTAAAAAATAATATCGGTATTACGATATTGTTATACGCATAGATGATTTTTCTTAGAAAAGAAATTAATGATCTCAAGATTATTTGACAATGCCACATTCGTGATTATTTGTGAAATCGCATAAGCTGATAAAAGAAAAAAATATAATAATTAAAATTAACATATAAATAGCTGCTTTTTAAAATCGAAAAAAACTCAAATAAGTCATAATTCAGTGGCTTAATCTCAAAATGAACATAATTTTTAAAAACTATGGCTTCGAAAACATTTAAATAGAACCTTATATGGAATAAATCCGAAAAACTCAAATAACTCAAAACCCGGTGCCTTAATCATTAAATGGACATCAGTTTTGAAAACTACGGCTCCGAAAACATATAAATAGTCCCTAATATCCGAAAAACTCAAATAAGGCAAAACAGTGGCGTAATAATAAAAAAAATTCTTTTAATTGGAATAAATCTTATTTTATTGAGAAAAAATTCATTTTGCCTCTATTAAGGTTTGAGTATTTGAGATGTGAGAAACTCATTCATACAATATATACAATTACAAAAATAGTAGAAATTATAACAAAAATAAGGGAAAGAAGTTTAGTAAAACAGATGAAATAAAATATATAAGGCAAGACTCTAAGAGATCCCAGCGTTTCTCTCTCAGCCGCTTCACTGAGATGAGGATTCAGTGGAGGCTGAGAAAGGACATACGCTCATGACTTGAGTGGAGAAGCTGGCCATTGCCAGGACTCCAATGGCATATTTACAAAAGATCTTGAGGCCACTGCCTTTTTAACCTTCGAGGAGGATTGTAGGGATGGCTGGAGCTGGATAAGGATTGTGCTAAGGAATTAGGATGGTGGATTGAGTTTTGATGAAAATTTGAGAAACGGGGTGGATTAACGTCAAGGACATAAGGATGTTAAGATCGTGATGTATAGTTTTGTTTGTAACATAATGAGGAGCATTCACTACTATACGAAGGACTTTAGACTGGAAGCATTGGATGCGTTTGATTTTCGAAAATTTATTTGTCCCCCACAGTTCAAGTCCGTAAGTCAAGATGGGTTTCAGTATGATCTTGTATATTAATAATTTGTTTTCAATTGAGAGGTTAGATTTTCTGTAAAGTAGTATGTGTAACTGGCCAAATCGTCGGCTAAGTTCTTGTCTTTTAAGTCTGGTATGTGGGTTCCATGTTAGTGTTTTGTCTAAAAAGAATCCAATATACCGAACTGTGTCTGAAATGGGAAAAGGTACAGAGTTGAAAAGGATAGGAGGGCAAGATCTCCGTCGGAGGGTAAAGGCGGCATGCTTGCATTTGGATTCGTTAATTCGGACGCGCCAATAGTTGCACCACTGTTCAATTAGAGATATGTGTCTTCCTAGGTTTAGAGATGCTGTTTCAGGATCTGGGTGGGATGACAGGATGACGGTGACGTCAGCGAATATTGCTAGAAGGGTATTGGGATTGGTTGGGAAGTCAGCGGTAAAGAGGATATAGAGAACTGGGCCCAAGACACTGCCTTGTGGAACACCAGCTTCAACTGGATAATGATTGAAGAATTCAGTGCCGCAGCGGACGTGAAAGGAACGATTGGAGAGAGAGGATTTGAGGGATAGGTGCAAGGATTGGGGTAATTGGGTTTTGAGCTTGAAAAACAAGCCATCGTGCCACACCCGGTTGAAAGCTTGCGCTACATCCAGAAATGCATTAGTGAAATATTGCTTGTTTTCAAGCGCAGAGGATATATGGTCAAAAACGAGAAGGTCTTGTTGAACAGTGGAATATCTTGAGCGGAACCGAAATTCATGGAAAAGGATATTGTGGATTTCGAGAATGGGTAGGATACGTTTGAGAAGGATTTTTTCAAAGATTTTTGAGAGGATCTGGAGCAAGCTTATTGGTCTATAGAATGAGGTATTATTAACAAGTTTATCTTGCTTAGGGAAGAGGATGATTATAGAGTGTTTCCATATCAGAGGAAAATGAGTTGTACGGAGTATTCAGTTGTATAGGTTTGTGAGGAATATGATTGCTTTTTTGGGAAGTTGTCTAAGGATCTGGGAAGTAAGGAGATCGTGTCCAGGGGATTTTCGAGGTTTTAGATTGTTTTTAAGGAATTTGGCCTCAGAAGAGTTGACTGCTTTAGGAGGCAAGGAGAGAGGAATCGGAGAAGAATGTGATTTATTAACTTTAGCAGTGTGGGTGGGATGGAGTTCAGGGTATGGAGGAATGTGTTGGATAGGTGTTTGAAAAATTCTTCAGCTCTAGTCTCATCTGACGAAGCCCAGGTTCCATCATCGCATCAGAGGGGTGGGAATAGAGTGATATTTGATGGTCTTTTTGGTACATTTCCAAATGGATTTGTCCTCGGTGGAGAGGGAAGAAAGGTAGGAATTATAGAATTGGGATCTGAAGAAAGCCAGTTATTTTTTAACCTATTTGGAATAATAATTGTATAATTTCCACTCATCAGGATGCCTGGTTCTTTGCCAGAGGGTCCTAGATTGGCGTTTGGATTTAATAAGGTCAGTAAGGTTTTGGGGTAAAGAATTATTTTTAAGCGTTTTTTTTTTTTTGGAGGGGAGTGGTGAGGATGCAGTCCAGACTGCTTCTTGGATCAAGGTGGTGAAGGAACTCACTCCATTATCTAGGTCTTGAGGGGTTTCTAGTGATACTCTGAGGTCTATTGCATCTATTATCGTTTGGCGGAAAAGTTTCCAGTTGACTGGTCCTCTGATGAATGAAGGAGGGAATAATATGGGGATAGGAAATGTGGAAAGGGTAAGGCTTAGCGGACTGTGGTCTGAGGAAAGGTCATCGAGCCGTAAAACTAAGAAATTTAGCGGCCCTAGACCTTGGTGAATGAAGAAGTCAAGGAGATCAAGATTACGGTTAGGATCGGGTCGCCAGTATGTAGGAGTATCAGGGGAAAGGATGTTGCTATTATGGGAATTAATTGCAGACAGCAAAGTTCGGCAGCGGGAATTCGTGATTCTGGCTCCCCATTGCTGGTGCTTGGTATTAAGTTGCACCTATAAGGAAATAGTGTTTTAAGGAATTAAGAAAGGATATGAAATTAGATTCAGGTACTGTTGTTTTAGGTGGAGAGTATGCTGCGACAATTGTGACAGGAAAAAGTGAGGTTTGGATTGCAACTGCTGTGGTTTGTAGGAAATCATGCACTGGTAAAGGATAAAAGTGATGGGAGAGATGACAGTGCCTCCATGTGCTGTTTCATCAGGGTGGTCTTTTCGATAAATTGTGTAGCTAGGTATGTTGAACTGTCGTTTGTTAGTTAGTCGGGTCTCGGTTAGTAGGGCTATATCAATGTTATGTCCTGTAGAAAAAAAGTTAGTTCGTTTATGTGGTTCCAAACACCATTCGCATTCCAGAGAAGAATGGAAAGTGGTTTTCTTGAGGACATTTAAGGAATTCTTGGCGGTGGGGTACGGTTAGTTCAGACATGTAAAAAACAAAATTGCTTACACAGGTCACCAAGAGAAATCTTTTTACAGACAAAAATACCAGATTTATGTGATATTTTTTATTTTCATCTATTTCTACTAAACAGGGCATCGGAACAAAAAACATATTCTTTAAGAACTTGAAGAACGTTAAATTTTGCGTCGAATGAGTACCTAAACTTAATAATTTGATTAAGTAATATGGCCGATAACCACGGTCAACGAAATCTAATTTTGACCAAATTTGTCAAAAACTGAGACAGATTACAATAAATGGCCCTACAGCTTGGAAATGAGTCCTCTAAGAGAAAAACTCAGAATTAATTCCGATTTCGATCCCGATCATATTCAGATTCCGATAATATCGGAGACCAAATAATTAGTATCTTCCTTCATGAAAAGTTTTCAATAGCAGCTATTTTAAGAAAAGAAAAACACTTTCTGTTGAGGTATATACCAATTATTACCGTGACCAGTTTTTGAATCGCATGGATTCTTCAAGGAGACTATAGTTGCTGGATATTGCAAGACGTCCAGATCTATTGGAACTGAATAAAAACTGGATCCGGCAGAAAAAAACGTATTTTCGTGTGCTTGACAAAACGGTTGTCCGCAGGAATATATAAAGTTTTTTTTTAATATAAATTAATTTTCCTACATTATGAATTTCACCAGCTAGAATCATTTCGGAGTAGGCAGGAAAAACAGCGACAGGAGTACAAGCCTTCGCAGCTCACGGCGCAAAGTAGGACGAGTAAAGGAAAACTCTCAACAGCCTAAATAAATTTATATATATATTATTGTTTGAACCTGAAAAACTAGATGAACTGTTTTGTTGACACTTTCTGAAATTCATGAGTTTTTTTTTTAGTTGGCAGAATATACATTTTCCACTGTTTTTATTGAATAGTCCAATTAAAAAAAATAATAATTTAGCCAATGTCGCGAGTTTTCCCTTACTGGTCCCACTGTGCGGCGGCCCCAAAACTGCATCACTTCACCCAGCGAGCCAACTTTTGTTCTTAGATTCTATTCTTTTTTCACAAAATCTCGCCGTGCTCCGAAGGTCGAGCGCAAGTTGATCAACAGTGTGGTGAGGTGGCGTGTATGACAAACCGTAAGATTAATAAAAGTGGTCAGGATAATAATTTTTATTAATATAACTGAAAATTACTCACTGAAGACGAATTCGCTCTATATTTAAATTTTGTTTAAATAACTGCTTTTTGAAACTTCTTCGAAATTTTCGTCCAGCGTCCAGGGAAGGGTGGGGGTGCCCTCCTGGCAGAATTATCCAGTGCTGGTCACAAAAATATTTTTTTTTTTATATTACATTAGAAAATTCATCTAAAATAATGAATTTTCCTTATATTTCTCTTTTCAATAAACAGCTGCTTTTTCGGAATCTTTTTTTTTCTACCATCCAAGGGAGAGAGGGGCGCGTTCCCTGGCTGAACCCGCTAGTACTGGTAACGATAGTAATTTTTTTTATATAACATTATAAAATTCGTCTTAGAGGATGCTTTTTTTCTATATTTCTCTTTTCTTTAAACTGCTGTTTTTGGGGTCTTTTTTAAAGATTATTTTCCACCATCCGGGGGGAGGGGGTAGAGGACGCGTCCCCTCGTAGAATTTGTCTATGAGGATGGATTTTCCCTATATTTCTCTTTTCTTTAAATAGCTGTTTTTGGGGGTCTTTTTTAAATATTATTTTTCACCATCCGGAGGGGCAGGGGGCGCGCCTCCTGGAAGAAATCACTAGTGCTGTTCACAATAATAATTTTTTTTAAATCACTGAAGGAAATTCGTCTTAGAGGATGAATTTTCCCTGTTTTCTCTTTTCATAAATAGCAGTTTTTTAAAACTTTTTTCCAAATCCCCTTGGGGGAGGGCGCGCGACCCCCGGCTGCATCCCCTAGTGCTTCGAGTAAAGGCTTTTGAAATCCTTTCCATCCAGAAAAGGGAAAACATTTTTAAGCTATATTCAAAAAGAAATATTTTCCAAACGACTTCTATAAACCCAATTTTTAGGGACCAAAATTCATTTAACATTAAAATTCATTTTATTATTCTCTTTGTTGTACCGTTATGTACTTCATTCACAATTTTTGTATCCTTATGAGCAAAAACTTTCTCCGTTTTTAGGTATTAAATTTGCTTAGATCAGGTATTAAAATAAGGTAAGATATTTGCTTGATCTTGGTTGAACCTTTATTTGTGATAGAGAAAATTATCGAAATTGCCTTGTTAGCCGAGTAAATTTAGGATTTGATATCAAGAAAATTCATAATTGACTGTAAATGTGGGGATTAGTTCCTCATCGATTGCAGAACAAACCATGAAAATCTTAAGTCCGCTTCTATCCAAAATAAACGGTCAAAGATGGCCACCTAGAACTTTCTGTCTCATGTTATGTTTTTTCTCCTATCATCGTCAAAAATCACCATCCTTAAAATTTTCAAGTACTAATATAATCGGCAAGGAGATTCATTTTGGATTTCATCGAAGTGCACCTGATAAAAAAATGATAAACGAACTGAAATATGATTTTTTTGGGGCGAATTTTGTTGATTCTGTTTCTGTCACTCCTCATAACTTTGAAACTATTAACAAATAAAAAATAATGTCTCACATGTTTTTTGTAGTCCTAAGCAAGAGGAATGTTCGAAATATTGTTTTTTTTTAATATTTGGTGGAGATGTGTTATTTTTTTAATTAAAAAGTCGTGATCTCAAAGATGAATCCCATCTCAGACTATTCGGATTAGATAGACAGTTATGGACCAGGAGCTACCGATTATTTCATTTAACTGAAGGATTTACAGTGAGTAACCATTTTAAATAGTAGATGAACCTCATCACAACTTCCGTCACTCGATTGAAAGCAGCTGCTCTCTACACAAAAGTTTAAATTAAATTGGCGACATTTGACATTTTATTTAACAGAAGAATTGACGACTGAAAATTTGATGTACATGTCTATAAAAAAGAGAATTCACCCGGATTAAATATATACTCGGTTGCGTTTTGAAAACTGACGGCGTCAAAGACATCTCTAATTAGTCCAGTAGAATGATACTAGAAAGTGGGAAAAAAACAGCCTCTACAAAGATCAAAGTGTCTCAAACAGCAGTAAATATAATGACTCAAGTCCATCTAATTGCAGAAAACTTAAAGGGGTAAAGAAAAAATGAAATGGCTGTCAGCCTCTACAAAATTTTAATTTGTTTAAACTTAGGATGCAGAAAAGGAATATGATGGTGGAAACTAAATTAATATTAAGCTGGTCGGGCTAATAAGAGGCGAAATGACAAATAAAAAAATAAATAAGTGGCATGTAAAATGTATCCTACTTTAAAAATAAACTATTATTAGAGTGTCTAAATTGGATCTCACTCCATCCTAAAATTTGCCTTAGGTTGGTATTACCTCTATTTGTGAAGAAAGACTTCTATCTAGTCATCCTTTCAGAAAGCTATCTTTCATCTTCCACAGTTAAGAAGTATGAGCTGATTTTAATTTTTGCAAAACAATTTTCCATTCAATATTGGAGAGTCTTTTCAAAATACCATAGACTTTGCTGGAGAGCCACTTCCGATACTTATTATACATTTTTTTTAGTGTAGGTCTAATTATTTACCGATGATTTAGCTTTATAGTGTTTTATTTTTAATTTTTTCTGTTGCAGTTTCAATTTTTGAATTCATCTTTCAAGTAAGAATCTGCTATATAATATATAAAGAATAATATATGATATAAAGGAATTAGGCAGGAATATGCATTAACTGTTAAAAAAATCATCTTAAACATCTACTAAAAAATATATTGGTGAAAATATTGTCACTTTTTAATTATAAGAATAAATTGTAAATAAAATAATAGTTTATTTTTCATGAAACAAGCGAATAGAATTATATAAAAAGTAACTGGAATGCTATAATTTTTTTTGAAGTTTATGATTTTTTCCTTTATAATTCTTTAAAGCATTGGGTAATTTTTTTATTTAAATTAGTAGTTTTGAATTATTCAGAAATATTGTATAAGTAGGTCAATCCACTGGAGTATCTTGCAAGTGAAAGAAATATTGTTTCAAGTGATTAAAAAAAAAAATCACTTTTGAAAAGTCAGTTACAAAAATAAATAACTTAAAACTTTAAAAAAAAAATCTTAACCTCACTAGTTACCCAATGATGTAAGAAAACGGATCTTTTAATATTTTTATTGAATTGAACATTCTAAATACTTTTTGTCCTTCAAAGCTATTGTTTCTTAACATTAATTAAATAAATTTAATCCCATACCAATATTGTAAATAGTCTATGATGTTGTAAGTTGTTATCATTATCTCATATTAAATGAATATTTCTTGTCTCTACGTATCAGTTTATTTTTTTTATGAATTGACCTAATTTAATTTAACTGCTTACACGAATTGTAACTCACAATCAATTGTGTAATAAGTCTCACGAGACTTTGAAAACAGAATGCTTTTCTTACAGATAAAACAATTATCGAAGCAGTAATAATGGTATTCCCATTTGTAATTTTTATGCCAGAATCATAAATTGGATTTTTATCCTGTATAATACCTTAAATTACACTATTGGATACATGAAATGCAATTAAATTTAGTAATTTTATTATTAATAAGATATTTGAGTGAAAAAAAAATAATTCTTTACCAAAATTATAATAAGTTGTTGAGAAAAGATTTTTTTTTAAAGAAATATATACAACCTCAATTTTTAACTTTATGTAATTACATTGGATTATTTTATATTATTTATATATGTCTGTATCAAAATTGTAAATAAAACAATTTGTTTGATAACACTTGGTGAAAAATCATTTAAAGAATAAATAAGGTTTGCTTTTGAAACCAATACAAACAGTAGTTTATAATGAAAATTAGGGGGGCAAAAATCACTAGAATAATTAAGAGTATATCTATTATGTATTTTTCTTGTCCAACATTTACTGATAAATTTGTAATTTATAAAAATAATATTTTATAAAAAAATATTCAACAAATGTATTGAATCCTGAAACTTATATTAAATAAAAATGGATTTAATGGTGCATGTGGAAGATATTCAAATAAAAATTTGGTCAATGACTAGTTTAAGAACAAATCAACAACAAATGAAAAGTAATGATTTATTATCTAAAGTTTGTTATATATATATAATGTTTTCAAAATCAATACAACCACAAAATATAAAATCATATAAAAGGAGGAAGCAAACAAGATTTCAGGAAGTTTGATTAGGGTATTCATCAATTAACTTCCTTAATAGTACATTTCATTAACGATAAATGAACATTGTCACTATATGAATACTTTAAACAGTTAAGTGCAGCTGTATTAACCAAATATTACATCAGTCGTCACAATAACACAATTTTCAAATCTCGGAGTAGCATGATTACTGTTATAAAACATAAAAATGGAATGTATTTCTCTCAAATTAAGTAGTACAAACCTGAAATAATAAATTATATAATATAATACACTTGTGATTGACATAATTTAAAAATACTTGGTATTTTTAAAAATGTTTACATCATTTCCATAAAAAAACTGCTTTTAACTCTTAGTAATTATAAGAACATATATTTTTTGGTACTCGGATAAATATATTTTTTTATTTTGGTATGGAATTCTGTGAATATAAATGTTTATTCTTTCTTTTTTTTTTTTTAAGAAAATCTAATTTCAAATACATGTAATATAATATAATAACAAAGCTTTTTTTTTTTCATTTAAATAATCTCTGATAGGTGAAATACTAATTTCTATTTCTAACAAACTTTTATATTAATTTTACCATAACTTAATTTATATTGAATATCTTTTACCCGATACAATTCTACAAAATAAACACATTGATGAAAATATAACTTTACGCTTTGGGATTATCACATTATTTTATCACCTACTAACTTGGTGGCATCAAAAAAATTCTAATCTAAAATCTGTGAGCGAGGCTGGTAAGGAAAATATCCAGGTCCAAACAGTGTTACAGGCACATAATATTTTTCAAGAGGAGGTATGTAAACCTAAATCTAATGGAAGAATAAATACAATATATATTTTTTAGGTGGTTATCATTAAACAATTAATTGATCACAAAAATTATAAATGTTTGAAAATTAAAAATGCAACAAATTTTGGTTTATTAAACCTTGGAGTGCAGAAACAGGATATTTCTGAAATGAGAAAAAAGAGTATCTGATTAAATATAATATTTTCCTATTTTCTCAAATACCACAATTTACAAGAAATAAATAATAAATTACAAAAGATTGTCTATTGATTTGATCACCTATTGCACATTTTTACTTATTAATATAAAGCACCATTGGCTTAAAACTATATTTAACTCCAAAAATCAAAACATAATACTAAAAAATAAATAAAAACAATGTCACTATATACATAGAGTATTTATTATATTAATTTTTAATCTAAGAATAAAAAAATTGTAATGTTCAGGCAATTTTCATTTTCACTAAGAACAAATTTCATTATCTACCAATATGGCAGAGCAAAACAGGGCAAACTCTTCTAATCCTTTCAGGTTTAGAAAAAAATTAAGATTTTAATAACTACAATAATCCAATTCCTATGTTCTGTTAAAATTGTTTTTAAAATCTTTTTCTATAATTATATCACGTCACTAAGTGCTTATAATACTATAAAATTTCAATGCTTAAAACAAAATTTTAACAATAAAAATCACAATAGTTACAGAAGAAATGTCGACAAAGACAAGATGCAAATTTACAGTTCGATCTTCTGTGGCGGTTGAGCTAGATTTTGAGCAGCTTCACCAAGCTTTGAAGGAGTGTGATTCAATGAATTATTTAATGGTTTATCAACCGGCTTAGAAGAGTCAGGTGGTTTTGTCGAAGGAGGAGACTTTTTAGGAATTGTTTCAGTTGCTTTATTATTAGGACTACTTGAAGATTGTTTTAAGATGTTCGGTGACAATACTGTATGAAGGCTCATTTGAAGTTTACTCAAAGACTGCTCAACCTGTAACAGAGTTTTAAAAAAAAAAAATGAAATAATACCATTAAAAGTTTAAAATTTTATACATATTGATTTTTTAATATTCCAAACCAATATCTCACCATTGAAGACTATTTAACTTAAGCATTACAATAGCTCTAGAGGAGGATATCACAACAGTTAATTCATTCATTACACCTATCCACCACCAAACATAATATCTCGTGCACTTTATTCACCAAATTTTTGACAAGACTAAATTCATCAGCCCTTATCTACCAATAATTATTTTCCATTGTTAACAACTTTGACATAATAGTGTCTTGGGTAATTTTTGGTCACTATTCATTCTGCTATTCAGAGCAGTATGGATTTGTCGACAATTTTTCTATTGGACTCAAATGGATAAAAGAGTTTAGTATGCAAACAAATGTTTTTCCTTAGAACTGTCTCAAAAGTTTTTTCACTCTGAGTTAAAGCATATTTTTTATAACATAAAGTATACTTATGCTTTAAAATATTTTTTAAATGAATATTTTGAAGAAATCATTAATTCATGCAAATAGTACTTTAATAAACTCCACATTGCACAGAAAAACTGAACAATCATTGAACCTCACACCACCCTTAACCTCATCTCATACCTTGAATCCCTTGAGCTCTGTTGCAGATCCAGATTTCTCACCTTCCAAGGAAAATTCTTTAATCAGATTTCAGGCCTAGCCATGGGAAATTCGTTAGCACCAGATATTGCCAATATTGTTCTCAATGACCTTCTAGACTCTGTTATCCCTTCTTTTCATTAAAAAATATGTCGATGACCTCCTCCTTGTTCTCAACCCTGACAGCATCCCCTAAATTCTTTCCTCATTCAACTCTTACCACCCACGTCTCCGTTTCACTATAGAGAAAGAAGTTAACAATTCACTCCCCTTCTTAGACCCTCTAATAATAAAAAACACTGACGGCTATGTTTCTACTGACTGGTACACAAAACCCACATACTCAGGCAGACTACTCAACTTTTATTCTCAACACCCATATCACCAAAAAATTAATACCGCCAAAAACCTTATTCACCGATCCCTCTTTTTATCTGACCCACAATACCACCAAGCCAACACTCAGCGTGTCAAAAATATACTCCTTTCCAATAATTTTCCTCTCAACACTATACTTAAACATTTAAACTGCTATACAACTAAAAAGAGTACAACCTCCCTTTCTCTCAACTCCCCACAATCACCTATCACTCTTTTCATATACGAATCTCTCCCCTATATTCCTATTCTTTCAGATAATATACAAAAATTCCTTAAATCGACTATAACCAACTTACGTCTTGGCCTTAAGTCCTATAACAAACTTTCTTTCTTTTTCACCAACTTGAAGGATCCCGTACTTTTACAACAGCGATCTAACGTAGTTTACTGGATACCTTGCTCTACTCCTAATTGTAATAGCTGCTATATAGGTGAAACCATCTCAAAACCCGCATTTCCCAAAATAAAACATCCATAACTTTCTGGAATCCCTCACCCTCCAAACTATCAGAACATGCCTTAACCCTCAACCACTCATTTGATTTTGAAAAAACCTCTATCCTCTATGGTCCCTAAACATAAAAAAAGACTCATTTACGAATCCATCCACATTCACATGGAACAGAATTCTGTTAATCATAAAGTAGATAAAAACAGTATTTCTTTAACATATAGACACATTTTAAATCCTATAAGTGAAAAATAACTTATATATTACATTCTATTATTTTTATTTTTATCTACTTTCAATTTTTATTGATTAACCATTTAATTGTTCATTATTCCAAGTATTTCTGCTTTGTATGATCTCTCTTTTATTTTATTTTAAATTTATGTTTACACTCTACATCAACGATCATCTTTTTTTTAATTATATTCATTTTACTTTTCAACCATGTCTCAATATTATCTAATATTCAAATGTAATTTTCTTACATATGTACAACCAAATATAATTATAATTATTAATTTTTTCCCTCTCTATACTTCTAAGTTAGTTCTGCAATGTATGTATATAAATTAAGTTATTTATTTATTTATATTTTACTTCTGCCAATTTTGTGTTTATTCACATTGTACTCTTATCTATAATCTCTTAATTCTATTTTATATGTATATGTATATATTTATAATTTAATATTTCATAGATATATTATTTTTTCATTGTATCCATCCATATCTTCAAATTTTAGATACTGTTATTTTCTAGGTTTTCCCCATTACCCAAACAAGTCAGCTCCCCGTATACCTGCCCTTACCCCGTTCTAGCCCTGAAGAAGACCTGCAAAGTCGGGTCGAATCGTCGGCTTTTAATAAAATAGTTTTACCACTATTTAGCCTATTTATGATCATCACCCCGGACCATCTCCTTCCTTTATAATGCAACGGTCAACTATTAAATATTCAATATGAAAAAATAAAATGTGAACTAATACAAATTAGTGCTGCATGAGTTTGTCATTGTTTTGCTGTCTAATTGCGATCAAACTATAGTTAGACTTATAATGCTCGGTCATATTATATGCTGAAGAGGACAAAGTATCCCTGAAACATTCCAATTGTAATCAAAAAGAAATATAAACACTATTGTTGAAGAGAATATGTTTGGGGGATTGCAGTCAAAGTAAAATAAATTACATTTATTTTCTTTTTGGTAAAGTTTCGGCCTAAGTTTCAGGCCTTCATTAGGGCTGCTCATTCGAAGGATATCGGACGAGTAATCACATAAATATGACCACACGAGTAGCTGCATAACCACGTATAGACACTTTAATTTATAAATTAATATATAAATGCTTATTTCTATCAATCACCTAATTTTATGCTATATAACTAGATATTTTACACTTTATCAGAGGATTGAAATTTAAAGAGGTGAAGATATAGCTGGTTTTTGAGGGATGTGGCTTTACATATAAGAGATAAACAGCTCTCAATGTTTTCTTTGATATGTTTAAAATAATATAATAATAAAAGTTTAAAAATCTTACTTCATTTAAAAGATGAATTGAGGCTTTCAATATTCGTACCCATCTTTCTAGTTCAGCAGTATGTAACTGTTCCTGTTTTTGAAGTAAAATTTTCCAATCTTCGGGAGACTGTGGGGTTTCTTGCATTGTGTCAAACCTGATAAACAAAAAAGGTTAATTCATATTAATTATTAGTATAGTGAGGAGTAAATGTTAAAATGTATGATGTAAGTTATAGGAACACAATAGCTAACTTAAATCACAAGCTGATTAAAGACATTGTCAATAAAATATTAGTTAAATTTCAATTTGGAAGTTTTTTTATACAATACTTATTTTATCAGAAATCAGCCAAGTGAAATAAAACATAACAAAAAAACAAAAAGAGTTTTTATTTTTGATAGCTGATAAATATTTGGAATCATATTATGAAAAATCAAAAAGAGTACACCCAACAAGATATTGTATATTTTCAACCTTTTCTTTCCCTGTCCTCTTGGCTCTTTCATTTTTATCAAGATCATAATATAGTGGAATACACAGCTATGTTTAGACAACCTTTTTCATTCTGAACAGAACATTTTTTCAATTTCAATTTTTCAGTTATTTATTATTCAGTTTTTATTACCTTAATATATCTTTTGACATAGCTGTGGCTAATCCCACAGATGGGCTCTGGTGCTACGGCTAATTGTGCAGAGCCCTTCCTAGCAAGGTGGTCAGCTTTCTCATTATCTAGAATTCCTGAGTGTCCAGGAACCCATTCAACCATCAATTGTTGGGGCATCAGAGAATGTTCAAATTACCTTTACATTCATCTACCAACTTGAAGAGGGTTGGCTAACAAATCAGGGTTCCAATTGCCGATTGGCTATCTGTAAGAATCAAAATCAATCTATTCATTACTCTCTCCCTTATTAGGGATTGAATGCAGAAATCAATAGGTAATAGCTCGACCTGAAAGACGGTCTTAGAGTCTTCTATCTACCTAGAGAAAGGAATATTTCCTCATTAGGTTTATCCTTTCTCCAGAAGCCAGCCCCTGATCCTTGCTCCATCAAGCATCCATCAGTGTAGCGGTTAACTCCATTACATAGTCTGTGAGAGTTCACCCTGCCAATCGTAACATTATAGCGAATGTCTCTATATTTATCAACTTGAAGGTCTGAGTTCATCTCATCTAAGGCACCTGATTACTACCAATTTTATCAAACAAGACTTCATGTCCCCGAAAATGTCAGGAATTTTGATTTTGTTCCCAATTTATCCATTCTATAAGCAGTACTAATTATTAATTAGCTGAAGATTATATCACCTTTAAGCTGCTCCGAAACAACACTCAGTCTGCAATACGCTGTGTCAAATCCTTATATTTTCATCAATCCTTATCCAACACCTCAAATTCCAAGGCCAGATGGGCTATCCTTAGAAAATTGATCATTGGTAACACACCTCAAACTCAGTCCAATTCTTTTCTGGTGATGACCTTGACTTTGCCTCCTGTCCCTTCTCATCCTCATCTCCTATGTCCATTCCAGCTCCAGTGTATTTCTATTTTAATCCTGAACATTTCTTTTTTTCTCATATTACACCAGATGTTCTCCTTAATCCATTCAGAAATCCCATACCAATCATTATGGACCCAATAACATCCCTGTCAGGCTGATTAAAGCCTTACTACCATCCATTCTTCCAAGCCTCTACCACATCTACAATTAATTACTCACTGCAAAACGCTACCTTTCCTACATCCTGGAAAACCACACTAGTTTGTTCCTTGAAAAAGATTTCCAACTTTCATGATTTTTGTTCAATTGCTCTCCTCTCAAACCTTTAGAGTGACTAATTCAAACCCAGCTATCTCACTTTTTAGAACAGAATAACCTCCTAAATCCTTACCAGTCTGGTTTCCGACCTGACAACTCCACTCAGTCAGCCCTCACCAAAATTTCCTTAAGACCTTCATACAGCCATGGACCAGCAGAAACTCTCTATCCTTATTCTCCTCGACTTCGCCAAAGCCTTTGACTCAGTAGAACACAAAATCTCTCTAACCAAGCTTAAAAATATCTCCTTTTCTACTTGTACCCTTAAATGGTTCCAATCCTTCCTTACTGGTCACTCCTAGTATGTTGTAGTCCCTAATAACTCCTCATCAGAATCTTTAACCTTGTCCTTCAAGCCTCCTCCTTATCTCCTACCCTTTTTTCCATCACATCAATGATCTCCCATCCTTCACTGTTAGTACCATCTGTATGCTTACGGCGTCCACATTTATCTCTCCTTCAATCCGACCGATTCCTCTGGTGTCATTCAAAAACTACAGGAAGATTTAAACAGAATTTTTGCTTGGTCAACTGTAATCGGATCACTCTTAATATCAAGAAAATAAAAGTCATCATAATCGGATCTCCCTAACTCCTCAAATCCTTACCGACACTCCCCTAACTTCTCCTCAACAACTCACCTATCTCATTCCATACTTCTGTAAAAAACCTTGATGTTACTCCTGAAAACCACACATCTCCCAAATTTCTCACCACGCTATCTTTACCCAGAAACAATTCAACCATCTGTTATCTCCTTCCATATAAGTTCGTCAACTCCTGGTTTCCTCTCTAGTGTTTCCCTACTTTGACTATGGCTGTCTGGTGTACGGTTGATTCTCAGGAGAACTCAAAGCTAGACAGATGCTTAATGAATTGTGCACATGTGTTAGGGAGCACACCAAACACTTTTTTAAAATTTAAAGCATTGGTCCAACATAATCTGTAAAGAGTTTTTAAACTTTTGTGGTCTAATCCCCATTAGGCTTGAGTAATTTATTTCATAAACAAAACTGCTTTTGGTCATTAGTTAAACAATCGACAACAATACTTTTAATTAATAATTAATAGGTTAACTTATAATTAATAATACTCGTGTAGTATTGTAATGTGAAATAAGCAGGATTATTTTCTTTGGTGAGGTTGAGCCATTGATTTTCAATATATTTAAAAAAAAAAAAATATATTCAATAATGCAATACAAATTTCGAAAAACACTTCACGGTTGGAAATTATTAGAATCATATTTTCAAAATGGTGGATTTAGTTAGATGATTCCTCTAGTTAACTACCACCCTTACCATACACAAAATTTGTATCCCATTTGTAAATGAGATATGTCAATATCTCTAATTGAATTCAACATTTATCATTCAAGAAAAATTATTTCATAAAAAGATGTTAACATTTTCAAAGTGGTAATAAACAACACATCCTATAACATAGCCTAACCAGATTACATGGACAAGTCAACCATTATATACAATTTAAATAAACTATAATTACATAAAACTAGGCTAAGAACTATATAATTATGCATAAACATTTTTAGTTCCAATAGTAAAAGTGACAACAGAAAGCCACATATAGTTCTTTCTCATATTAAATTACTACTCATGTGCATTTCAATGAAATAATTAAACTTAAGTTTCTCTCCAATGCATTTTCAACAAGTCTACAATTCAACGCTCCAAATAAGTTATTTATTTAAACCAATCACAATGATTTGGGTAAAATCCGAAAATGACAGATTATAAAGGAAACTTACCTCAGTGCTTCAAGGGCTTCATCAGAAGATTGAAAAGTTCTTTCAAATTGCTCCAATCCCCAGAGCTTGTAATATAGAGCTGCATTGAATACGAGGAGAAGGAACAAGACACAGAATATTGCCCAAGCCAAAGTATCGGTCTGATGGGAGGGAGGAGGCTACAACAAGGACAATTAAGCTGTAAGCAGTTTTTTGTATGACTACATCGTGAATCAGTCATAGTTTCATAGTAAAATGTTTATTTAACAGCAGCTTTAAACTAAGTATACAAGAATTGAAATTATGAGGGCTGGTTACAACATTGATTATCTGTATTTTATAGCTCAGTCTTGTTAGCATTGCTAACCTTGTCTGGTAATGAAGTCAATAGTTAAAATCACAAAAACATTTCTGTGCAACAATTAAATAACCATTGAGTTGGTTATAATTTCACAAACAGTATAACGATGCAAAACTCTTGAATTAAATATCTATTTTTTTTCTCCTTAATACATTCAAAGCACGAGCGAAATTGTAAAGAATGTTAATTTGATAAACAACAAAATATTATTAAGAATTCTATACAACACACTAATGATGATGTTCCATACATTATAATGATTGTATTGAAGGACCAATTTCCTTAATAAGTAATTAGTTTGTTCAGTTCGATAGTTAAGCAATACGGTTCGACTATCGGTAAACTTATACTAATCCAGTATTGTATCCACTTAGAACTAACTATAGGGTTAGTGCAGAAGATGAGGATCCTTGATTTTCTGTTTTCTCTTTTATTGAGAGTGGAATAAAGAACTTGGATAAAAACTTCATCACCACTAAGATGATATTAACAAGCAAGAAAACTAATATGTGAACACAAAACAAGTTTTATTTTTATTAAAAATATCCAAAAGCTCTTTTAAATAGATTTTTAATTTAATATGTCACAATAAATAGTAATATTATAATTTTTAAAAACCTCAATGATACATGATAAGTATCCCATAGCAATCATGTCATTTAGGACCATTGCTAGAATTACGACTGGATTCATGCATTATCTCAAACATGGTAAACGCAAGGCATGGTTCGTTCCATAGAACTTTTACTGGGTCTGGAAGTTAGCATCTAAACCTTTTAAACAAAATTTCTTCTATCTCAATCTGTTGACGTAGCACTGTAAAAATTTCTACTTATTTCAATGGCTCATTTTAGTTGTAATATGAATTTAAGAATTAAAAATTTTGATTTTCATACATAGTGTCACAAATAAGGGAAGGCGACAACAGTTTATATATATATATATATATATATATATATATATATATATATATATATATATATATATATATATATTTATACCTAGTAAATAAAAAATTCATGGTTTTTGCTAGTATATCCAATGACACTTCTTTTCGTGAATATCATTAGACCATATTCTTTTCATATTGTTAGAAGGAACATCAGGAATAGATTGGGAAGCAACATAATGAGCTTATTTGGGTATGAAGTTTTAAATGAAATATAGAAAAAATCACATTCATTTCATGTGATCTGCCAGATGAGCTTCTTAAAGGAAGAAAGAAATTTTGAAGTAGTCAGAATGAATGATCAGTTTCTTGTTATTTCAGTTTTGAGCAAGGAATCTGTTGTCATGTCAATATGAATTCCTAGGTGGTGAATCTGTTCTTAAAGGTAAGTGGAAAATTATTACACTACATAAAAGAAAGGGTATTAAGGGTTTACGAAACCAAATTTAAATGCATAGCTACAGCAGATATTTATAGCTTTAAATTTCAAAACATTAATATACCAATGGGTGGCAAATTAAAAAAAAAAAATTGACTACACTAAATTAACTTTTTAATGCCTTTTTCTATGGTCAAACTTTATAAATAGTATCATAAAAATTTACCTGGGGAAGTACTAAAGGTTGGATTAGAGGTTCTTCTGCAATAGTTGGAGGCAAAGGAAGTGGTTTATTCTGCCTTCTGCGACCAATCTTCCTTTTTGAACCCACGACACCAGAGGCCATAGCTTTGCGAGTCCTGTCACACTCTTCCTCAAGAGCTTTAACAAGTGAATTGAAATATTCTTCTATTCCCAGCCAACAGTTTTTTTCTATGTAGTCTAAAAGTGAAAACAAAAAATAAAATTTAAGAATTTATTAATTATAATATTCAATTTTGATAAATCAGAAGAATAGATAATCATATTATTTTTACTTTAGAATTCCTACAATTGATATCTTTACCTAATTGTATTATGTTATTTAGTTTTTATATTAATTTTCACCCCTCAAAGATGAAAACTTTTCATTAATAAATATTTTTTATGATTTTTTTTTGCAATAGTTAATTTATTTGGTAGGAAACTGGGTTTTTGTATTTTTAACCCATTGTTTCTATTCACTATAAAACAAAAATTGAGTATCTATAAATCAGTAATCATTTTCATGAAAATTTCATACCAGTAGCTGCATGTTCGCTACACATACTTTATAATTTTTAATAAGCGTGAAACTATTTTGTAAATAAAATAAGGTAACAAAAAAAAAAAAAAGAAAGAAAAGGGGATGAACAACAGTATACTAGACTACCAGTCAGAACAATGTTTGACTATTGTTAAAAATAATTATCATAATTTAAGTTTCAAAAAAGAAATCCATAGAGAAAGGATAACTGAATATGCAATATAAAATGAAAACTCACTTTTAACTAGCCCCCAAACAGATTTCCTATACTTGATTTGGCAATACACAGCCAGAGTAGAAGTACCAGGATCCTTTCCTCTTGTTAGGCAGTAATGAGTTGAAACGTAAAATGCATCAGCATACGGGATTCCAGCGTTATTAGCTTCAATTTCAATAGCATAAATCTCTCCTGGTTTACTACATGGTAACATTTTCTGTAAAAATAAAGAAAGATTCTTCATTATCAAAATAATATCACATTGGCTATTGTCATAGAAAATCAGAATGGATTCCTCAAGTTTTATGTAAGTAACAAAGTAAAAAGGAACTTCTCATTCCATAATCCATCTTAATTTCTGTCAGTTAGATTAAAAGTGATTTTGAATTATTTTTGAGCGACTAACCTTCCTGATTTTTGAATTAATATACTTTATAGTTGAACAAATAGAACTTGTATTTATTTTAATAAATATTGTAACAACTTAAGAGAAAATGAGTTGTGCCGACATGATTTGAAAATGAACCGTTGTGCCTAAGGGTGTTGAGATTTATTCTATAGTCAGAAAAATTCAGTTTTATTTTTTATTAATTGTGACTATATGCTCTTCAGTTATTACTCCTGTGTTCATATGCTGAACACATCAATTGAGGAGATAAAATAATTTGTATTTTTAAGGGAAAAGTAATTAATCTTGATTCACTTATCCAGCAAAGACTGCTTGTTTTCTCGTTGTTCACTCCAGTTTTTGAAATTGAGGAGTGTCACCAATGGACAAGTTAGAGGAGTTTTGCCAACAGACATGTTCCCTACTTCTTAAGAAGAGAACAATCCTGCCAAGGAATTTTAATGTTTGTAACTTCCCGAATGGCACAGTTTATAATGAAGTCAAAGAAAACCAGAAGGCATAAGTTTGTCTAGAGCCATGGTTTATAATTCTGTTTTAAAAAACTAAATAAATTTAACTATGTATTTTATGTTTGAAAGTTATTATTATCTACTTATACAAATTAATATCACTTTTGCTAATAAAATTATTGATGAAAAAATTTATAAGGATTGTTTTTATTGGCAAAATGACAACCTTTCTTTGGTTAACTTGGGATGTTGGACCAAAGAATATAAAATATATTTTTTCCCAACATATACATAACAAATACCAAATACCTAAGTTGAGAAAATTCAGGGTGATGAGGCAAGTTAAATATATATTTAAAAGACTTACTTCATTTAAAAATTGATTTTTTCAGATCTACAAAACAAATGTATTTGCTGGTACAACTGTATCCTCTATAAGTAGATATAATAATAACAAAAATTAGCGAATTGAGAGGTTTGCTGGCACTAAACAAATTCAAACCTGAAATTACATTATTAAACTGAATACTAAATTCTCATATATCCAAGGACAACAATTTATCTTAGATTATTTCTTTGTTGGTTTAGCATGGCTTAATATTCGTGATCATACTTTTGTGTTTAGAATGAAAACTGAAAATAATATTAAAAAAATAAGAAGGAAGTATTATAATGTGTGTAAATATATTCCAAGAGTATTCAATTGTAATTCAAAGCAAAAACAGAAATTTATTTTAGCTCTTCCTTCTTATTGTATTTATAATATAATTATTATGTTTTAAATTTATCATTTCTTCAATAATTTTGTATTTTCCAGTTACTGTATTTATTTCTAAAATTATGTAATATTTCAATTTAAATTCAAATTTCAATTATACTATAATTTTTCAATTACTTAATTTCACTTTGTCATTATAATAATGACTACTAGATTCCAATTAAGTAATTTTGTATTAGAACATATAATTTTTGTTACTATTTTAAGTAATCTACAATAAAAATGTGTATACCTGTGATTCAGTAACCTGGGTTTGCTTTGGACCAATCGCTTGTGTTATTGGAACAGTATGGCAAACAGTACGACCTTTTTGATTCGTTGACGGATTAGTTACCCATGGAGACTGCTTAACATCTATAAATTATTAGATATTATTGATTTTTGCAGAATTATTTAGTCTAAATGCTAGGAAATACTTTATCAAGACGTAAAAATAGCACAGAAACTTTTGAAAGACATAAACTCATCAAATGGAGAAATTCAATAATCCAAGATGGAATAAAATATAATTAATACAAAATTTTGTTATATGTACCTAGATCCATATAAACATATGATACCTCTCTATGTTACTGTTATATGTTACTATTTTTTAATTTTCTATCACTACTTGATCAGGAAAATATTGTAATCTGGTCAAATTTTTGAAACACAACAAATCTTTACATTTCAGAGCCCTTCCGACTCAAACAAATGTAATTTCGGCCATTAATTATTATTTCTTAATGACTAGACCCATTTAGTAGCTTTTTTTTTGTTTGTTATTTTAGTAAGGTTTTACTCCCGAAGTCTATGAACTACATCGAATTTTTGTCGTGGCACCTATATTAGGCTGAACAATTTTTATGGACCTATATTATTTAAAAATAATAAAGTAAGTGATAATATAATAGAATCTTTACCCAATTTTGGTGCAATATTTATAAACCAAATAAAATTTCGCGAGATATAAGCTAAAATTTGATTTATACTTATTTTAATTCTTACTAGGTAATAAATGTAAATTTTTCTTTCACTTACCGATACATGAAATATACTGTATAATGTATTGTGATTACGAATTAGAGGTTTAAACAAAAAAATTTGAGTCCAAATGAACAAGTCTCGCAAAATAGTCTGTGAGTGTGCAAGCGTGCATGCACCCCTGTCTGTAAACAACAGTATAGCTCATTAACGAAAATATTTAACTAACCGAAATTATAAATTTAAGTCAGGTATGATACAGCAACTTTTTTGCTTGAATCGACTCACAAGAAGGACTACTTTATCTAATTGATTTTACGAATTTTAATTAATAATTTTCTCGAAAACGGATTTAACAATTTTGACTGAATTTTTATTTTTTTGTAAAATTAAATGGTCTTTGGTATTAGTTAAGTCCTATCCTAATTGAAAAAACCTAACAATGCTGAAAAGCAGATTTTTAAAATGTCTTCCTTTACGTTAAAGTGACTTAAGCTTAAATTAGAAATTAAAGAATCTGATAATTCAATAATGTAGAAAATTGAATAAATATTTTCATAGATTGAAAATGAATTTCGGCAAATATGAGTAGTAGTAGTAGTAATATAAATATACAATATATCCATGGAAAATTAAAGATTTCAAAAAAATGAATATATAATATATAAAGTCATAGAAGATAATGAAGAGTGACAAAAAATTAGGCTTTTAACTGTAGTTAATGTCTACTTTTACATTATTGAATGGGCAATAAACCTTTCCAGTTAAAAACTAACAAGAATTTCCATGGACAACTTTAAAATGTATTTTCAGCTTGACAAACTAAAGATATACAATGCATAGAATTTTGATAATCCCCACACTATTACAGTAAGGCTCAAAAGAGATTTTTTACCAAATATAAGCTCCTGTCATGCTAAAATACCATGAAAGGGGTACTGTTGGATTCAGAATTTCATGGGAGGTTAGCGAATTGTACTCTTCGCTTTTGTTTTACTTTCTAAAATAAAAACAGTCAACATAAACATATTGCTAGATTTTGTAGCGTACACCAAGATCAAGATAGTTTCTTCAGAACTATCGGGCAGCCCTGTATTCTTAAGTCCAAAAACATACTATTTTCGAGATGATGCAAGGCTAAGGCTTCACACATACACAACCTTATATTAACTGTACTATAACCATGGAATACATGTCTCATTTCGTCGACTTTAGGTCCCTATGATCGATAGAGGAGGAGTTTATATTGTTTATCTAAGGTATTTTTATGTCGGTAAGCCATATCATCGACAATTCTCCATCAAATTCCAAGATTGAGCCACCAATTTTGAAGGTTTCCTTCTCCTTTAGGCGGGAAAAATAGTCTAATCACTTGAAAATTTTTCGAAAGAAAAATTCGAAAAAGTTTTGAAAGAAAAGAAACTTTATTAGCGAATAACTAAAAAATTACACACTTTTCCCTGTATTATGTCTATGATTATATAAAAGACTACTAAATTTCCTATAAAAGGAAAAATAAATCTTTGAAATCAGACAATTATTAGCAAAAATATGGCTTATTGAAATTTGTAAACATGTTGGTTCCAAACATTAATGAAGTTTTAAATCAATTTTTGTTTCTTTTGTCGACTATATTTAGGGAAAAAATAAGAATTGATTTCTCTATCTTATGATATGTTGCATTATTTTATTTTCTTATTAATTTGTCATTTGATCACTGAACAATATTTTTATATTTATATAAGTTTATATTTATTGCCATAAGTCTGTGTATATAATTAAAGTAATATTCTTATGGTTTATTAACTTTTGAAAAAATAAATTTTGAATGAAAGTAGTGAGGTAAGTGAGAGTTGTATAATGTACCACATCAGATTTTTTAGAATGTCTATTTACAATCTACACTGATAATTTTGATGTTAAAAATTAAATATCATTGCTGCGGCAGCCCTGTAATACACCTTCTGCACCCCATTTCAAAACCCCTGGTAGATAGATATAGCTGGGAATGGGGAGTCTGCCTCTAAGAAAATTTATTTAGTTAAGACAATGCCAATGAAGATATGAAAACTGGACAAAGTCCAGGTTTTAATGATCTGTAACCATACAAAACTAATTAGAACATACTACTGTGTAGATACAATGCATGCCTCACCAGTGCTTTTTCTAGTCTCATGAAGATCAAAGGCAAACTTGGAATTAGTGAAGAGATGTGTGAACAGCTGATCAACATGTATCGACACCTGCATGTGGACCAAGAGCCTACCATCATGGAGGCAAGGACAAGCGATTAATGTACCTAAAGAAAACCAGTAAAACCAGGAGTTAAAAAATAATTTTTTGTTTAGTTTGTTTCATTTGAAAGTTCAAAATATCATTCCATTTTATTTAATTTTTGTTATCGATTTTGGAGAAAAACTAACAGACACAATAATCTGATCAGATCAAACATTAAATATAGATTACAACATAGATTGATTTTTTTCCCTTCAAATAATTAATTGAAATTAAATATACTATTATTCATATAAAAAATTGAGAATAATTATTTCATTCAACATTTTAAGATTTTATGACAAAATTATTTCACATTAAAACCAATGAGATCTCCTCAAAATGTACAACTCTAATCCAATGAAATATAATATTAATAAGATTGTTTTATTTTAAACCGAATTTTAATTTTTTGCTAAATAAATTATACAGAAAAATAAATACTTCTGAAGACATTTTTTATAAATAGAACTTTTTAATTTAGTTTTAATTCAAAACATAGCTTGTGGTTAACTGCAAGAAATTTATATACTTTTATAGCTTCAATAAATACATTTATGGTTGAAATTTTTTTTTTTTTTTTTTTGTTTTGGATCATTACTAATACATGCCATTAAAACAAATATTTATTATTATTTATGATAGAGATCAAAACAAATTTGATTTAGGTTAAGAGTGCCAAGATAAGATATTACACACAACTACTTATAATTAATGATGAATAATGCTATAATATGACTAATACAAATAATTTAAGTTTATCAGAGCAGAAAAATAACAAAAAATTATTTATTTAATATTGCTATTGAGAATGGAACATAAAATCAGGACAGTACAAACAGTATTAAATAGACCGTCCCTTAAAATGAATCTAGCAGACATAAGTTTAACTATTAGAAACTATAAGGATAACTGAATAGAAATTTATAATTAACAAAGTTTAATTAATAAGAATATAATAATTTTATAAAAATTGTGTCCTAAGCATAATTCATCATGTATAACTGTCAAGAATTACTAAAATTTACGTATGTAATACCTTGCTTTTCAGATTCGGATTCACTTGGTGAACTATCACTAGGATCTGAGGCCAAATGTTCAGACGGAGATGTCGGTGTCGGTGGTTGCACAACTGGTTGTGGAAATTTATCAATTTCGTTAAAAACATTGCCATCCTAAAAATGTTATAATTCAGTGTAAATGAAAAAGATTCAATCAAAATATAAACTTGTATTCAAGTTGAATATTATTTATTGGTCTTTAGTCTAGCTTTATTTACATCGACTAACTCGAGAAGTCTTAATCATTTATCCCCTACTGAATAGTAATTTAATTTAAGCCCTATTATTATCTGTCTTGTTTAATAAGATGACTGAAGAACTTAAAATTTGGCTGATTTCAAGATATTACTGGAAAAATCAGAGGTTCTGAACAAAATACTAGTATATCATTGTTTATAACTATTCTAGAATAATTAGTGAATTTAGAAAATAACTTGGATTAAGGATGTCTTTCAGTGGTGGGCAAAGAAGAATCACAATTTAAGAAACGTAAATTGAGGATATGAAATTAGAATCAAACTAAAATAATTGTCAACTATACCCCTTGCAGGGAAGCAATTAAAAAAAAAGAGTTCATGATAGTTCAACCAAATACAATAATAATATTGCTGTTATGAAGAAATTTAGAGATTTCTACAGTAAGAGATTTTGTCATCACCTTCGGCCATCAGTTCAGCAGATAAAATATATATATTTTCTAGTAAGAACCTATTAATTTTTGCGAGTATTAAAGCAATTCAGGATTACTCAAAAACAAATGGTGATGAATCTTTAAATGGAATTATAAAACTATTATAACTGATATCAACGATGTAACAAGGGATGGAAGGAGTTAAGTAGGGAAGCTTTCTCCTCTTCCAATGCTGAGAACATTTAAAATAAACTAATCCTAGTAAAATATTGTTTAAAAAAAAATTAGATGAAAATAAATTGTATTATTTTGACCTTTACTGCGAATTATTGCATAGTAACATGGAGCAGTGATGTTTTATAACAATATTTTTCATATCAATATTGAAATGTGATGTGACAATCGAAAACTGACAATCATTTTTTTTTTAGAATATATATTAATACTTTTATAATATTTTTAGGGATTCACTCAATATTGATCTTTTTCTTCCTTTTTAATTTTTTTTTTTATATTGAAGCAAATTAAATGATGTTTTTATTTCTTAATGTAAGATATTTTTTGCTAAATTTGTCAAATTAAAGTATTAATTTATTAATGTTAAATTGATACTTTTTTTGTAGTAACAAAAAAAAAATATTGTAGGTATTAGAGGTATTACAAATCTAAGACTTCAATGGCATGTTAATCCTTTCCCTTTTTTTCAAATATAAAAAGCATTGAAGTTCGAAAAATCAATATTTTATAACTTCTGATACTATATTAATCAATATTTACATTCCTACTCTTTTCAAAGATTAAAAATACAGAAATATCAATATATTTTCTCAATATATATCGAATAACTATTTCGATATTTTCATCCATACCATGAAGCCCCTCCACTTCTACATGAAACAAATTAAATTTTTAAATTGGATACACACTTTTTCTGCATTTCAGCTGGTCAGTTCATCAAGACCAATCTCAATTATGGGCCAGTAAACTATTTAAACTAAACATTTGTCCAGGAAAATACAACACTATAAATAAGAAGCAATTTATATTTCAAAGAATAATTAATGACCATAACCCCTTGGATCAAGTTTGATAAAAATAAATTGATACTTTTACTTATATACATGGCTGAACATGCTTTCTCAGATTATTATTTACTTGTATCAATAACCCAGGTATACTTAATATTAATCTTGTAATTTAAATCCATGAGCTGATAATTATATGAACTAGGATGAGATTTTAAAACTTTTAACTGCTCTACTGAAAAAATTGAATAATTGTTCTCAATAAAAAAAAAAAAATCTTAAGTAATAGAAAATGAATATGTTTACATAAATGCATAATTAACTAGATCTGAAAACACTGAGTACATATGAACAATATTTCTCAAGGACAATAAAAGAATTTGTGCGGACATTTTTACTGATACGGATATTTAATACTTGTTGAAAAAACAGTTATAATACAAATTAAATCTAAAATTAATGATAAGATAGAGTTATGATAATTAATAATTTTAAGTATCAAAACTGTATCTATCCTTTCTTACATATTAATTAGATTTAATTGAATTGACAAATATTTTATAAGAATCGGTTAAAATCAGGTTGATTGTCAAAATTTTAAATCAGTAGAACTCAAATGATCTAAATCTATAATAACATGGAGAATGGATCAGTAAAACAATTTAAAATTACGACTAGGAAAAACCACCAGAATAAAATCTGGTGTGGTATATGTATCAAACCATCCTACTATGGGTAGAAATAGATATTTTCAAATAAAGGGAAGTGAAAGTAAAAATGATAAAAAGTATAACATATTCAGTCATACAATTAGTTACATGTTTTTATATATAACAACATCTAATTTGTTAAATTTATGCATTATTCGTCACTGTCCATTTCCTTCTATGACTATATATTTTAATTATGTATTTAATTATAAAAGTGCAGAACAGCCAATATTAGCTATATTGACAGATCAGTTTTCAGTTCACATTTGTTGACAAAGTTGACGATATGATTTTACATACACGTATTTATTTAACTTTATTGATACAGCTTCATGTAAAATACTTTGCTAAGTTCTTGAAGCATGAATAAACACAGAAATCTCCCAAAAACCAATATATGAGACATCAGTGGACTCAATGATCACAATGGACCTGTTCTATTGAAGGTTTTCAGTAGTCTCTTCAAATCCAATTTAATCAAGTTCCACTTTATAAAAAACAAAATAAAATATGTTCAATTTTAATTGATTTTTTCAATAATTTTTTGTTATTATGTTTCAATTTAGATAATAATATCATCATTTTGTTCATTATATACATATTTTTTTTTTCAAAGCCTGAATGTTATAAATTTAACAGGAGTGTGAATAACTGATAAATATTTTGTATAACAATAAACTAATATTGATCATTGTTTCAGTTCATGAGTAGAGGAGCAATTCCACTTTCAACTGCTGATTTTTTGGAAGAACTGGGCGTGCAAAGGAGCCATCTGCAGAGTATGGCAGAATCCATTATTTTAGACTCATTGAGAATCCTACACAACCATCTGTATTAATTCTGGGTGTTTTGTTAGAGGGAGGAAAATGAAAAGAAAGTCGTAATAGTAAATGAATTGTAACATTCGGTATGTTGGATGATGGTCCCGTAATACTTTATCCTATATCCTATGTGTTCTCTTTCGTTAAATAGTATCGATTTTGACTGATTAGTATACTGAGTGATTTAGCAACCCAAACACAGTTGAGCAGCCATACAATTCTATTGTGCTTTTCTCTTAAAAAAATATATATATTTAAATGTAAAATAAAATTTATAAACCAATATAGAAATATAAAAGATGATCCCGAAGCAATTAAAAATAATAAAATTGATTATTTAGTGTTATAAATACTTGATAATAATTTTAATATATAAATTAATTATATTCTTCATAACATATCTTGTGTGTCTAAGATTTAATTATTATGTTTCCGACTACATGTCACGGTCATCAAATGAAAGGAAACTGGCCTAAAATAAAAATTTAGTGCATTTCTGTCTATAAATTTATACTTAGGGTCTTGTTTAACCTTAACTAAGTTGCTGACTACACATAACCAATATGGTAATGACAGGCTTTGGTAGGCTCTGGTTCTTGCACTTCCTAGGTGCCTGGTTCTGAACATGGTGGGTTTAATTCCCACCTGGGTTAGTAAATATTTATTTCTTGGCGGTCATGGGAAATGAATCTTGACACTCCCTAGAGAGCAGGTGGTGGAAACTTCAAGGTAGCCATTAGGGGTAGGCAAATAGGCTACTAGTTCCCCACCAGTATGTTCTTTATTGAGATTTCGAAAGCCACATTGAATGAAAAATTTTTGATATAGAATATCTATTTAATAATTAAAAATAAGAACAACTATGAATAGGTAAATAAGACTTATTCCTCACCAGTATGATAAAATCCATCACTCATATCACAACTTCTATACAAAATACCTCAAAGACAGGTGACACGAAAATAGTAAGCATAAGAGTTTAAAAAGTTTAAACAAAATTATTCATCTAACCAGAACCAAAAAAATATTCATAAGGAAAAGCACAACCATAGTTCCTTTAAAATTTATATTCATACCTTATTAAGTATGTAAAGTTTTATACAACAAAAAATTTATTATTTAAATCCCCTCCAATTCATTGCTTAATTAAACCTCCTGATGATGGTGACCTTAATTAAATCCCCAAGATACTGTTAATTTAATAATTAAACTTAGTAATGAGGTCAGGATTTTAATTATATCAAACTTGATTCTGCCTATCAGTAGTTAATGAAGTGAATGCACCAATATTCAAATAATTGCAAATTTTAAATTTTATTTACAGGAACACAAAAAAAACCTATGGAATCAAGGTTAAATATAAATGAAATAAAACCTACATGTTTATACAAAGTGTGCCACTGAGCATGTATCAGGCAGGTATACATGCCAGAACAGACCAGCAACTGAAATGAGCTTATTATTGACTGATGGGAATACCTCTGAGCAGTTTTCACTCCCCACTTGTAATTGATAAATAGTAGAGGAATTTTCAGGCTTCTTATTTAAAGGTGTAATTCATTTTATTTATCTATTGTTTAATTTTTATTTCATGATGTTTTTATAAAATATACCTATTTTTCGAAAGATTTTAGTTATAAATGATACCACTGATTACTATTTTTCTATTTATATCAAAATAAACATTAAACTATAATAATATTAACAACGTTCAGACTAATACCTTCAATAAAATAAATGTCACAATTTTATAAAATAGAATAGAATAGAAAATTGAACTTTATTCTGGGACTAAGTTCCCTTAAAATAACAATTATGAATTATTCCAAAATAAAATACAAATCTCAATAATAATAAAATGAATTATTACTGTTAATTTCCAAACATATTACATAATCTTGCAAGTAACACTGTTTGGAGAGTTCGC